AAAAAAAAAAAAAAAAAAAAAAAAAAAAAAAAAGGACCGCCCAGGCCGTGACTGACGGCAGGGGGCGGGCCGAGATTTGACACTCGGTAAGTATCTGAAGGCTATTCAAAGGTTATTTATATGTTTTATTGTATAGTTTTCCTCCTCAAATAAGATGAATCTATCAATAAAAAAAATTGCGCTCTATAAGAAAGGGGAGAAAAGAAGCACTCCCACCAAAAGGAACTGGAAGGCTTGCTGAGCCCTGCTCGGAAATTGGTAAGGCAAACGAAAGTTTGGTAAGGAATGGCTTCACAATCATGTGTTTATTCCAATGGGTCGTATACACCCCCAAGTAAGAAGGATCCTAATGCTAGAAATAAAGCCAACTATATTTGAAAGCAATCCCACGAACAAGTTTTTGCACCACCTTTACAATCATTGTAAGGTTTCAAAACTTTGGTGCCCAAAAATGGCTTTTCAATGGCAATGAATCTCAATTAAATAGTTGCTCCACTGGACGTATTAAAGAAACAACGTAACCTTCGTTGGCTTGTTCAAGAAGTGAGGATGGGCTATACAGTAAGGCTCATGAAGCAGAGATCTTATCTTTAGCCCCTGTGCTGGATGAGCTGTGGCCAAGAGATTTTCGGAAACATGCAATGAGCTAGTGACAGGTTACCAAGAATTCAGACATTCTTGACATATTCCTTTGGTATTTTGAAACGGGTGTCGGAATCTGGCTCCAATTGAAATCCCACGCCACTAGGGTAAATCGGTACTATTCAATTCCGGCATTTACAAAAACTTTCCCTTCTTTCTGGGGTTCCACAGTCTAAGCTGCTATATGAGCACAAGTTTCGGGCATCACTACTGATCAATTTCCTACGTCACCTCGCAAAGCTCCCATTTGCCAACATGCATGCAATAAACCGTTGCTTCTCTAGAGTTATCACAACCTACACTTTAAGATCATAACCTTTCCGTTCGTTCCCTTTTTCCATTTTCCAATACTTTGTTTTATGCAATAATAATTTGTCCGCATACTCTCCCAATCAAACCCACTATGTGATGCACCGGTCGAAGACCTTTCCGCGAGCCTAAGTCTTTCAGGACATGTAACAATCATTCGTCCCGATTATGTTTTTCCAACAAAGCTTCTATCATCCAAAGGAATCTGTCGCGCTTAAAACCCCATCGAGACTTTCAAGCTAAAGGTGACAAGGAAAGGTAGCGATATGAACAAGACCGAGTACTGTGCGATCAAGCAGATAGCCAAGCAGTCCATTTGGAGATGGTCGGGCGAGTCTGGATCCGTGTAAAATGCGGTGAAGTATACCAACGCCGTGGCATTGGGAAGTCCGTATTCCAACACACTGACAAAGCGAATCAAGTTGTCGTCTCCATACCAGCCGGCCTTGTAGATACCAGTGGTCAATCCAACCCCAAAGATCGGCAAAACAATCAATCGACATGCAGTGATCATGACGGCAGTTTTCCAGAATCCAGGCACAATTGCCGTCACCCTCAAGCGCGCAATCGTGGCCCCTAGTATGAGAAGACCTAAAGGCACAGATGCAGCGCCTACGTAACTTGCAATATCAATGACAAAAGAAAGCGGCGGCTGCTCGTCCGGCGCCAGTGGCATGGGGAAACTTGTGGTCACGAATAGCGCCTTAAGCGGTGGCGACATGGCAATGGCGAGAGAGACTATGAGTGCCACTGAATTGGGTGCAAGAAAGTTCTTGAGCGTCAGTATCACATTTTTCTTGAGCCGCAGAGCAAATGACCGGGTAGGTACTGGCAGCTCTTCCTCGAGCTGATATTCGTCGCTTCTTCTGTCTTCCGTGGCGTTGAGCAGCCGGTGCAGCTCGTGAGTTTTGAGCCTCTTGAATTCCGAGTACTCGTGGATAATATCTCCTATATCCTCGGATATTTCCAGACACGAATCGGTGGTACGAGTCATGTGAAGCGGATTATCTAGAACGAAGCTGGACAGGCGCCTTCTACGCAAGCACAGGCCGGACATGTGCGTCATGTTTTTGGAGAGCTGGCTGCTGGTTTCATTTTGTGATTCCTCCTTTCCAGGTGTTTCTTTTTCATGTATCTTCTTTTCGGATGGTTCCTCTTCGGCTTCTTCTTCCGGATTCTTCCCAGACATCTCCTTTTCAGATGCGATATCCTGGGTATTCCCTGTTTGTGCTCCCTCTTCGGAGAAAGACTTGGCCTCGAGCTCGGCAGGGTCGGCGGAATCGATTGACTCCGAGTCGTCTGAATAGGTTGTGGTGGCATCTGGGATTTTGGGCTTGGGCAATACCAATGACTCGCTGCTAGTGGATGTAGCCTCAAGTTTAGACCCACCTACTTCCTGCTCCGCATCGGCTTTGGCAAGCTGATCCCGGAAATCATACCTCACCAATTTGAAAAGCCCCAAGCTGAACTGATAGAAGACCTGTGCAGCAAGGAAAATGCACACGTATGCTACGCCCTTGTCGCTCTCATCACTGGTAAAAAGACTATCTGTTTTAGCCATGGTCTGTAAGTACGCGATAGGAAGATCTGAGATATTGGGGAACAAGCCCACGGATATAAGTCCACCAAACCATGCCTTGGGAGACCTGCAAACATAATGGGTGAGAAGCCCCAACATGGCACCCATGAAAAAAAGAAGCGTGCCCTCAAAAAAAACTATGCCGATGAACTTGATGTCTGAGCTCTGTAAGTAAGACACAATGTTGTTGAAAATCAAACAGGGCATGATCGCGGTCACGACGAGATCAGAAATGTCTCGGCATGTCGATACCGGCAAAATATTGCGTTTGGCCAAGAAAAAGCCCATGCCGATAATGAAGTAGATCTTGAAGATCGGCTTAACTGCCGAGTAAATGACAAGCCCTAGTGAAGCAGACATGAGGGCTCATTAATATGCAACAGGCTCCAATGCAACGGACAGCCAAATGGATGCGAGTGAATTTGTCGGCTCTTCTCCTGGGATAGAGCAATGAGTTTGGTGCTTTTTCGCTTTGGCGCCTGAAAATGAGATATTCGCTGAGAACTTGCGGATGAGTTGGAACTAGAGAGCGCCTTTCGAAAAATCTACTCTATCTCTGGACCTGCTTAGAGTCATCGATTGTGCGCGGGAACTAGAGCCTTACCATGTTAGTGTGCAGGTGGAGTTACAACGAGGCTTGCGCTCTCCTCTGCATGGAGATAACCTATGCACCGGATGCCTCAAGTTCTTTCGTTACTTTGACACATTCGATTCGGGGGACGACCAGGAGTTTTATTTCATTACCTTCGTACTTAAGCTTCAAATTTGTCTTTTTCTATGAGCTTGTGGCTTTTTTATTTGAAGACGTGTGCTGAAAAATGATCGCATTGGTCCGAGAGGAGCTGGTGCTTTCCACCAATGAGCGAGCAAGCAAGAGCCATTCAGACAGATGAAAACAGTTGCAGTGTCGCTTATAAACCATTTCCAATAATTTGCTATTGTCTCTATCCAAATGAAATGGGGGTTACCCGGCATTTTTCGGTGGCTTGCATGTAGTCCTACAAGTCCTGTGCTTGTCTTGGATAGAAACACATTTGGTGAGCTATACAAATACTAATGAGGTTCCTAAAGAAGATCAAAGTCATTTTTTAGAATCAAAGTATACTTAGAACTACCTTCCATGAAGCTACAAGATGGCTTTGTGTCCCAGCCGTTTTACATATCCGAGAACTTCAAGCAAAGACTCAAAGAAAGATACAGATAGTGCTATATCCGAGAACTCTAAGCATAGACTCGAAGTAAGATACACATAGTGCTTTTATTCCTCCAATTTTTCCCAATATCACGGATAAAACGAAACCGCGCTTTGTCATAAAATTAACCAAAAATAATTTCGTATAGTTAGCGGCTTCACTAATTGAAAGTGGAAGGCTGCGAAAATGTCGCGCCGATTGCAGCGGATTGGGCAAAGGCGGAATTCATGATCTACGACTCTTTGTTTTCAGAATAATGGTATTTTCGTAAAAAAAAACTATTCAATTAACAATTTAATGTTCCAATTGTTATCCAGCTTCAAGTTTAATTTAAATTGCTCACATTTGATTTTTCAGACACATTTCCTTGATCATGAGAATGGAAGGTTTTACTCATCTAAAAGAAATATCCAAAACTTGGACGAATTTACGGAGCAAAAGCGTTGCAGATTCCCAAAAAAAATCAACATTTTACAATTTGTGTGAAATAATGGCATTTGAAAGCCTTGGGCTTCAGAAAAAGAATGCTTTGATATCGTACAATCAAAACTATCCACGCCCGAGGAATCAATGGCACGTGCGCTCAAATAGTATTCCCCGAAGTCCATCCTTGTGGGGAATGGAAAAGCCAAGGACAGTACAAGTTTCTAACGTTATAAAATTAAACCAGGAAAACTACTTAAGGGTATACCAATAGGGTATCAAAAAGAATGCAATGGACGAGAATTCTTGTCCATACCAAGGTGGGAGAGTGAATTCTCAAAGCACATTCAGGTACACCACTCACCAAACAAGAAAATAAAGGGCCAACCACGAATAAATATCATGGCCACTGATTCACCCTAAACACAGCTGAAGTGGGATGCAAGAGTCTCCTGCGCCCCTCTGTCAATTATCATGACATCAGACTAAACTGCACTCAGTGTGTGGCAACAAATGCCACTTTTTTCGAGTCCCACTGGTCATGGCATTTTACGATTGTCACCACGCTGTCGACACTGAAAATCTCATTTTCGCCGGTGATTTCGTCCAAGTATTCTTCCACGAGAGCTGTATCTAGCTGTGGTTTATCCACACGATCGTTCTCGTATGAGTACATGGATGATCCAGCGGAGCTATTTCGGGAAACAGTGCGCTTAGAATAAGTGTCGTGGAATGTGGGCAGCAGCATGTCGTAGGATTTCAAGGAATCGTATTGCAATGCGGCAAAGCTCATGTGTGGTCTGCGTGGCGAGCGCTTGGGAATTTCCAAGTCTTCTTCGGATGTGGTACGGTAGCTCAAATTGGGAATACGATCCACCCTGTGTATCGTGGGGGAGACTTGCATAATAGGCAATATGAGTGTAACCAATTAATAGATTCTCTGTTCGTTTGTTGCCGAACCGGTTCTAGAAACGGTGTTTTGGATATGGATGATTTCTTCTCAAAGAGAATTCTTATTCGGAACTCTATGGCTATATATGTCGTAGCTCAAATCAGGCTTGCTGAGGAAGGGGTGCGATATCAGAATGGTGAAACGCACGGAAAACAAGCTTCACTCAGGACTGTGGGACGGTTCAGAAATTAAAAAGGAGAGAAACCCTGTCACTATATGAAATGGAGAGAAAGAGATGGAAGTTTGGAAAAGGGCCGTATCGGGCAATGATATACAATTTTTCCTGGCCATGACTTTCTGGGCACTCGAGTGAACTGGAATGCTGGCCTATCTCTGAATTGGGCTTTAGCCTGCCAATTTGGCCAATATATCCTGCATATTACACATCGGTTGCTTGTTTGGGCAGTGCGGTGCTGGCCCAAGGTGCCAAAGCGTTAAGGGTGACTTGTCGGCTTTTTTGAGCTTACTATTCCTATTATATAAAGAAAAGCAGACAGAAAGCTTTGCTTGCTTCGATCTGAGTTCACAGTTGAAACGCAGTATGCAATGCGTACTTTTTTATTGTCTGATGAACAGGCATTTTTCATTGCGGAGATAAGAATGTGCACTCCTCCGGGCATGCAGTCTCGAATGTGCATATAACATGGGGCTAGAGATACCGGCTTGATATCTGAGATCTGAGCTGACATGGAGTATTTTGCACCAGCTGGGGTCTCATTCCCAAGTAGTGGTACAGATGGCTAGATAAAATACAAAGAAAGAGAAACTGTAGCGTCAGTCAACGTCAAGATATGAAAAAACAGGCAAGTGCCTGGAAAGTCTACTTCATGGAGAAGCATTGCGTTTCCGTAGAGTCGAATTGTCTTGCGCCAGTCAATTTAGACTCGACTGATTCATCTTTACACCAGTTATTCTTCCCCGTATCTCAAAGACTCCTGAACAACGCAATATGCACCAAACTGCTCAATGTCTTCGTCGGAACGACGTGGGGTGAATTTGTTGTTCGCCTATTAAGCGAGCCTGTATATGACGTTTTATAGTTCGACCCGAGTTTCATAGCTAGGATACAGTTCCCCGTGAACTGTCAAACACCGAAATTCAAGAGATTTATCCGCAACACAAAACACAAGAGTTTAGGAGTTCTTGGAGCGACGGCAACAAAACAGGGAACTTTTTGAAGTGCTCATGTCTGTATAATTCTGGGGTACTGTGATGAAGAAACCGTTAAATGTCGCGCTGTCTCATACAGGAACATTCTAGTGCTATAGCTTCCTAATGTTGGGACACGAATAGAAGCCGTTACTCAGTGAGAGCTGCGTAGTTCTTCTCCACACAGTCATTAAATGCATAGATTCTGAGTTGATTCATTGAAGCCGAGTAACAACGAAAAAGTTCTGCTTATGGAATGAGAAGAATTTGCTCACCCATGTACAGAGGGTGGGTGACTTCTTGTTGATTTCTCTTCTGAACTGTATCTTGAGCTCACAGAATCTGCCCTTGATAACAGAAATGAAAAACAAAAGTTTCCCAAGCAACAGGAGAAAGGTCACATTTATCATCGTACTTTGACAGAACTGGAATCTGGCATGTTCATTAATGCTTTAGCAATGCCTAGAGTTACAGCTACTCGCCTTGTCATTATTCACAATTATTAAAAGCACTCTTGGTGCTTCTGTCGACATATCATCTAAGCTTTGGGCATGTGAGCTGGGCAGATTTTGCACAGTTGATCGACCTCTGGAGAGCCCCTTATAAAGACAGGACGTAAAATCTGCCTACATCAGTAATGCAAGATCTTCGATTTAGCAAAATCACAGTAGCGGTATGCACCGCAGCGATCAAGATTACGGGACGGGTAGGAAAAAGGGTTTTTGCTTCTGACCAATTCTCTGAACGCCACAAGTTCTGTTCGAGGCCTGGAAACGGCAATGTATTCCGGGAAAACAATATACAGTGATCCGCGCATATGGGCGAGAATCGTCTTGTGACGGCTTGTTTCGAGCATTTCTCTGCAACAACACGCATCTTTCCAGTGGGCATTCTCGGAAGCTGCTAGGGCCACCCAAGAAAGTCACTGGTCTGGGAGGTCCGGCACCTATCAAGGGCACCTCGCCGGCCCGGATTGAGCAGTCGAGACAGCACGTTGGCAGGGCAAAACTTCAAGTTTTGGATGCCCTGGTAGGCAATGGAAGCAGAGCGGCCAGCCGGCCACGAACAGCGCCTCACCGCATTTCGGGTGGTCTTTTCACTAGCAACCTAGTCCGCGTGTATTTCTTGGCCTTTTGGACAGGCTCCGGTCTTGGTCTTCAAGACCGGCTCCGGTTCTTGGCCTTTAAGACAGGCCCCAGTGCTTGGCTTTTCGGACAGGCTCCGGACTTCTTCGCCAGAATCTAGTTCTTGGCCTTCTTCTTGGGCGGGCGCTCGTCCGTGTTCGCGGCGGCCTCCTCCATGTCGGCGTCCGAGTCGGACGCGGGCGCATCCGAGTCGAACTCCTCGGCCACGTCGGAGTCGGAGCCCGAGCCGAAGTCGTCGTCGTCGCTCTCATCTTCGCCCGCGCTGCCCATGTCGACATCGGCGTCGTCGTCGTCGTCGTCGGCCTCTTCGGTCATGGCCTTGGCCAACATGGCCTTGGCCATCTTCTCCTCGTTCTTGATGCGCAAGCCGCGGTCCTTGCAGAAGTTCTCGATGGTCTCCTGCTCCTCCTTGTCGATGTTGGCGAAGGTGTGTGTCTGGTTGCCGCCGCGCAAGTTGACCTCCAAGTCGAACGTACGCGACGCGGAGACGCCCGTGGAGGTGCGGGACATGGTCACGCTGCTGACCTCCGAGTAGGGGATGTACACGGTGGGCTTGGTGACGAACAAGAAGCAGCGGTCGAGCGGGTACAAGTAGCCCTCGGAGGCCTTGAGCGAGCACGCCACGCCGGCCTGGAGGAAGCGCGACTGGAAGGCGCCGGGCACGACCAAGCGGCGCTCCGTCAAGCCCTTCAAGCAGTGTGCCATGACCAAGTGGGTCTGCGAGTCGTACAGCTTCTTCAAGCGGTCCTTGTAGCGCTCGTCGTACACGCTGTCGGCCAAGTTCAACTCCAACTCGGTCTCCTCCTCGCGCGTGAACTGCAACACCAAGAACGGGTAGCGCGTCTGGCCCTGGCGCAACGGCGGGTCGATCTGCAACACGACCAAGTGGTGGATGTCGTCGGGCTTGGGCAACGAGAAGACGCGCTCGATCTGCTTGTACTGGATCTTGTAGTCGTAGGTCTTGCCGCGCAAGCGCAACGAGCCGGGGTACATGTCGATGTCGTAGCGGCCGCGCGGCGTCAAGAACAACACGTCGCTGAACGACACGACGGCCTCGCCCGCCACCTGGCCGATGGCCGCCTTGTCCTTCAACTGGTCGTAGAACACGGACGCGGCACTGGCCTCCTCCACGCCGTCCTCCTGCTTTTCGGAGCCGTCGTCCGCGCGCACGGTCGTGGTGGTCTCGCTGGCCACGGTGCCCGGGATGTAGAGGCGCATTTCCACGAGCTCGTCGCCCGCCTTGTCGTCGTTGTTCAACGTGAGCTCGAGCGCCACCTCGTTCTTGCCGGTGAGGTTCAGGTTGGTCACCTCCAGGTACGGGATCTCGAAGCTGGGCTTGTTGTGCACCTGGAACACCAACTCGTTGCGCGCCAAGTCCGCGGAGCCCCAGTTCCAGCCGCGGAGCGAGTGCTCGCGGTGCTCCATCGCCAAGTGGAAGTTGCGCTGCAACTCCTGCTTCAACTTCAGGAAGTCCTCGCTGTCGAAGCCGTCGAGCCGCAACACGCCCTGGTTTTTCGTCTGCACCCGCAACTCGTACGCGCGCAGCCCGCGCGACCAGCTGGCGCCCAAGAGCTCCTCGGAAGGGAGCAAAAACGGCGGAGCTGGCGGGGCGCCGGCGGTGGACGCGGCTTTCCAGCCGAGCCCCAGGTCCGCGATCCGCATGCGCCCGCTGAGCTTCAGCTGGTTGAGGTGGATTTTCTCAAAGTCGATGTTGACCATGTTTCGGGGGTGTTTTGGGGGGTGTTGGGGGAGGGCGCTGGGAGAAGCGGGTTGTTGGCAGGTGGTCTTTTTCGTGGCCCTGGCGCCTCTATGGAGGAGGCGCGCCTGGGTGCTGGCGGCCCTGGGGCGCCGGTTTTGGGGTGCGCCGGTTTTGGGCTGAACACGAGGATTTGCTGCGGGCGGCGCCGGAAATGATTGGGGTGGGTGTTTGGCGGCCGGCTGGGTTTTTGTTTTTGGTTTTCGTCTGTTTTTGGCTGGATGGCCGCCTGGTGTAGACTGCGAGGTGGGGCCTAGCTGGGTCCGTGGTGGGGCGACATGGGTCCATGGTGGGGCGACATGGACCCATGAGACTGCCCGGCCTGCGCGAGACGCGCGCCAGAGGCCCTGGGGCCAAGGCCCGCTGTGGTGCTTTTAACATGACGTTGGCCAGAGAAGGCAGCAGCAAAAAAAAAACTGGCTTTTTTTTTTGGGGGTAGGCTTTCCAAGGCGTTTTGAGGGACGCGGTCAGCCAAGGCTTGGGCATGCTGGTGGTGAGGTGCTGTTCTGCTCAGCACCAGCAGTCTGTTAATTTGATCCACGGGCCATGGACAAACAAGAGTAGCAAATCCAAGGGACAGCCAGGAAGTTCGGCGACGCATCCACAAGCAATCCGGCAGTTTGCTGGTGAGTATGCACACGAACAGCCAGGCTGCTCTGCCCGATTTTGTCATTTTGGAGAACAAAGGCAGGAAGCCCAAGCTGTGCTTAATATATCTGCGACCATGCGCAGCCATGCAATATAGACCCAGCCATGCAAGACGCAGCCATGAGCCAGCCACGAATACTCCAGTCGTGTTAGTGGACCACAGTTGCACAGTCAAAGAGTATACTGAAAATAGCAACCATGAATGGTCCTTCACAGATCTACAGCTCTGAGCAGTCACACGGCTCATTGACAGATGAAGGCCTGACCAGGCAAACAGTTAAAATGAACAATCAAGCTGGGTCACATAGATACACCACGAAAAGTCCGGCCTGGTTGTAATATCCACGGTCATGGGAGTCAAACATCCTAGAATTCATCATCGCAAACAACAACCATTGTATTTAGAGAGCCACCTTCACGGGCAATCTGCCAGTGTGGAACTTAAACGAGCCTTTGAACCAAGAACACCGCTAGGGGCATCCAATTCAAAACACACAAACACTGACGGAATTTAGCAGCCAAACCCGGACAGTCACGGCTGTTCAACGACTCTGCAGCACTCGGGCAGCTAGAGTAGCCAAACACCCTCCAGTAATGTGTCTGGAATCTCTAGTAATTAAAGGGCCTTGGTGCATTTCTACCCAAACAGCCCGGTACTCTTCAAGATCTATCCCATGAAAAAAGTGTCTCGCCAGAGACGAGAAAAATACAAAACACCTTTCACGGTGAGAACAGAATAAACCTGGAATATACTGCCTCGAGGACTGATCTTCCTACATTGCTTATGGATCCCAAACCCGAAACCATCCTATGGGGTCAAAAGGTATTCATGATTTTATGATTATGTTACTTATTTTCCAGCAGCCAATGGCCTTCTCTCTTACGTATCAATTCACAAACCTAGCAATTCAACCCGAACAACAACTCCCACACTCATAACAAGTGGTAATGAGCAAATGGCGTGGACAGTGAACAGAACCGCAGCTTACTCACCAACCATCGGCTCATACTCAAACCTCCTCAATAAAGACCGTGTCTTTGTTTCCTTTTTTTCCCCCCAGTCATTCGCTTGAGCTTTCTTAAGAGATTCATGATGTTCTTCATGTACTTCATGTTCATTTTCGAAGACGATCTTGGACCTTATTAGAAACTCTTTCCACAAAAAGAGTCGACAGACAGCTTGAAAGAAGTTGACCGTAATATACCCTGAACCGTCCTGTTGTTTCTCCATGAGGACTATACCACCTTCCCTATACTGAGGTGAAATGTGCAGACGTGCAAGAACTTCCCTTCTTCTACGTTGCGAGGCAAGTATACTTGATTTTGGTGTTTGAAGAGCGTTGCTGATTTCAAGAGGTTTGAAAAAAATACCAACGTCTATCCAGCCAAAATAGCTCGTGTAAGTGCCCAGATTGAAGAGACAGATTGGATTCAACACAGTGTGATGATGGCAGTGGTATGATTCTTCGGTACTTGACTCTCCTTGAGCTTGGGAAATTAAATAGCAAGTATCATCTTATCAATTTAGATTGCTTTCGTGAATTATTACGATGATTATTCATGATTAGAGGAATAAAATCACGAAACATCTGCGCCAAACTTTTAGTCAGTCTCAATATTTAGGGTCAAAAAATCTCTCGTCTTGTGCATATGCATCACTGGGGCACAAGCAACAATAAACAGATGCTAATGAAGCTTTACTTTAACCTGCCATCAATCGATTGAGAGGTAAAAAACAAACTTGATTCCGCCCAGGATCGAACTGGGGACATTCTGCGTGTAAAGCAGACGCCATAACCAACTAGACCACAGAACCAGACTTCGACATTGTGTGGTATGATACTATTTCATAATACATTGATGAAGGAGGATTATATAGTGCACATGGATAAATGTCTCTTTTCAAATAGATTAGTTCAAAAAATATTCCAGGCTGTACGACTAGACTAGTTGAGGTATGCTATCATATGTTATGTCTATACAAGAGGAGCTTCTGCCACTTTAAATATATATGTTTGAAGGTTTTTTATATATATTAGTTATATAGTTTTGCCCCTTTAATCAGATGAATCTACCCAAAATAAAAAAAAAACGAAAAGAAAAACGTGACTAACGGAAGGGGATGGGTCGAGTTTCGACACTTGGTACGTATCTGCGAGCGATCAAAAGGCTTTTATATACTATTGTATTGCTTCTTTAATCAGATGTATCTGGCAAAAAAATGGCGGTCAGAGGGTAATGTCAGAAACTATGGGTTATGGACAACTGTGGTAATGAGGCGAGTCAACATGAATTATCTATCTATTGGTCAGGAACAATGTTTTGTTTCCACATCTCAAAACGCGTATAAAGTAGAATCTAAAGCCTGTATTCCTATCGGACGCCCATTGCGTGCATAAGTTATGCAGTTATAGATCCAAGGACGTTCACTTAATGCGTACCAAAGATTCGAAGCACCAAGTTGCCACTCCCCCAAAAATATTCCAAGCTGGCATAGAATCACATATGTAATGAACACAGTGAATAAATACATTCCCAACAGTGTGTAAATGAATGTGGAATATTCATAAGTGGCTGATATCATATACGTTAAAGCGGTTCAGAGTAGCAAGTCCGAGCATGGCCTGTACCCAAGATTAGATGGCATCGTATACTTAGTCTCAATCGAGCTACGGAACAAGAAATCCACAAGGCGCTCTTTTTGAAAACCTTCCGATTCCTCATAAGACTTTAATCAGCCAAGCAAATAGTTCCATGATTGACTGGCGGAGAACCACGTGCCATGGACCACCACGTATTAGCGCACTGTTTGCAGCCGTGTCGACGGCCTGGCAAAGTGCATATAAACCACGCGAAATGACGAATGACTCAACAGACTCAGGTATTTTTCCACAGACTTCAAGATCTTTTCCTCCTCATTCTTTTAATATACCACCAATCGTCGTTTTACTACACAATGGGCTTGGTTAAAGTAGGTGTTTTGGGCGCCACGGGATCTGTGGGCCAGCGGTTCACTTTGCTCTTGGACAGCCACCCGGACTTCGAGCTCTATGCCTTGGGAGCCTCGGCCCGGTCTGCCGGCAAGCCATACAAGGATGCCGTGACATGGAAACAAACGAACTTGATGCCGGAATTTGCCAAAAACATCCCGGTTGAGCAGTGCACGCCCGAGGGCAGGTTCGCCGAGTGTGAAATCGTGTTTTCTGGGTTGGATTCCGACGTGGCCGGCGACATCGAGACGGCGTTTGCCGCTGCAGGCAAGATCGTGGTGTCCAACGCCAGCAACTTCCGCAGGGCCGCAGACGTGCCTTTGATCGTGCCGATCGTCAACCCGGAGCACATGTCTGTGGTCGAAAAAAGAGTGCAGGAGGCCAAGAAGGAAGGCAAGCCTAGACCCGGCTTTATTGTGTGTATTTCCAACTGCTCCACGGCAGGCTTGGTGGCTCCATTGAAGCCTTTGGTGGATGCGTTTGGTCCCATCGACGCGCTCACCACCACGACTTTGCAGGCGATCTCGGGCGCCGGCTTCTCGCCTGGTGTTTCGGGCATTGATATCTTGGACAACATCGTGCCTTACATCGGTGGCGAGGAGGAGAAGATCGAGTGGGAGACGCGCAAAATCTTGGGTGGCGTTTCTGCGGATGGAAACGGCTTTGCGCTCATTCCAGAGGACGAAATGAAGGTTTCTGCCCAGTGCAACCGTGTTCCCGTCAGCGACGGCCACACCGAGTGCATCTCGTTCAGATTTGCCTCCAGACCCGCGCCGTCTGTGGACCAGATCAAGGCAACCTTGGCCGAATACCAGTGTGAGGCGTTTAAATTGGGCTGCCACTCGGCTCCCAAGCAGACCATCCACGTTTTAGAGGAAACCAACAGACCACAGCCCAGATTGGACAGGGACAGAGATGCGGGCTACGGTGTTTCCGTGGGCAGAGTGAGAGAAGATCCCGTGTTGGACTTCAAGATGGTGGTGTTGTCGCACAACACCGTGATTGGTGCCGCTGGTGCCGGCGTGTTGATAGCCGAGATCTTGAAGGCCAAGAATGTGTTGAACTGAGCGTGACGGGTGTGCATAGGAACTAGAAATCTAGACGTCATAATCTCTGGGCTCGAAGTTGCCTAATGTAGTGGAAAGAACCAGGGGGGTGTCAATAGTGAGTGTTCTGCGAAGTGCAGATGGGCGCTTCGGGGAATGCTTGAACTCTAGGCAGCAGCGAAATTCTCTAGATACTTTTGTGATTCTACTATGAAGCGTGATGAAAGGATTTTATGGATAAGATATGCCCTTGCTTCTCTTTGAGCTTCAGCGCACTTGCGTGCCATATAAGGTCAAATATTAGTGCATAAAGAGTGATCTATCATGCTAGCTAAAATTCTTCATAGTTTGATGATGTAAGGAGCAGAAAGTTATAGACGCGGAATCTATTTTACTGGTATTTTGCATGCCCACCATGACTCCATTCTAGAAAAATCTTAGCTCCAGGCAGCTATGCCACTTTCTCGACTTGAATTAGTGAATAGTCATGATAATACTTTGCAAGAGACTCATAGCAGAATTATGAAATTTTCGGAAGCAAAGATATCTGGGATTCTAGTCTTTTGAGGCTTACTCTTAATTCTATGGGCATGATATTTCAAGCAGTCAAGTGAGGAATTATAATTTCGAAAGATGATTTCAAATTTTTGATTGCACTTCGAAAAAGTGGAATTATTACCAATTCTCAAACTCGATATATTCGTTTGACTGAGAGTTCCACGGTGGGACGCAGTATTTGATGAAAATGAATAACTTGAACAAGTGAGCACAATGTCTTTGTTTGCCTAGTGCACAGCTTCCCTGGTTTCAAGCTATAACATAGGATTAATCAATTTGTGAGTGAAGAGTTTTGGGTGTGAGCTCATCTGAGAGTATTAGCTGTATGACTCTGAACACGAAGAAATTTTGTCGGGCCAGGGCATTCAAAAAAGGAAAAACTAGTAATCTATGGTGTTTATTGGCTCATCGAGCCACCGTCGTTGCCGTCTTGCTTGTCGAGGAACGAATATGCATGTATCTTGGAGACTCAGTAATGGCTGACTGTGTATTTCAAGTTCCCTATAGTATTTCCAAGGCGTACGGTTCAGGCCGTTGCTTTAGAAGAATTACACAAGATGATTTAAGTGTTAAAGCGCACATAGTATGTGCTTCAAGATTTGTCAATATTAGTTTTCATAGATGGTGTGAGTGACAAGTATGTTGAAGGGCAAAACTGTCACGAAAGATTTTTGTGGCTTCGCTAAGACTGACTATTCCCACATTGGTCTGGGCAGACTATGAAGAGGGCAATGCTCCTTGCCGCCCCTAGTGCCATATGATAACACCAATCCTCTCTTCTAATGATATGCATACTAGGTTTATTAAGGCACAAGATTCGGAATCAATATTAGGGGAGCTTTTCGGGGTCAATGTCAGAATATGAAACCGAGCCAGATCAATGTTTAAAACAAGCTGCTAGCACAATTAGCTCCATAGAACTAACTCTACAATTGGAAAATGTCATCATCGACAAACGTTTGAATGAGAAATACTTGCAACAAATGAAATATGCAGGTCTACATTTTGCAGTCATGACAATAATACACAACTTGAAGTTGCACTGTTACAGGATTTGCAAATAAATGAACTGGACATTGCTGGGTGTACAAGAGAAAAAAACACCAACATCGGAATACTGCTTCTGGTCCCTTTAGTGCCAAGAAAAGTCGAATGTTAGGAGTCTTCAATGGGACTGACGTGACTAAACCAATGGACAATGCCCGGCTCGAGATATGATTCATTTCCTCTAGAAACCGAAACTGAATTCTATGACGGAAAGTGATGACCCACAACTATGTTTTCAATTAAGCAAAACGGCGATATTTAAGAACTGAAATAAGACAACCCAGGACCAGTAACTGATGTGATGTAAGCTATGAGCACAGTCTTTGTTTTGTTTTGCTTGACATGTCCTCCAGCTGCAAATTATTCAAAACGCTTTGAGTGTACATCCGAAGTTTTGCAGTGCATAGGACTGGAAGATTATTACAGCCTCTCGCAATCTTGCATGAAACTGTTTTGGCTTGTTTTCATTTAATTAACGCCGCTTTTTTGTATCGACCACCTTTCCTGCGCGTCACTCCGCCATATTTTCCAGCACTTAATTTCTACTCGATAGTTGTCATGGAGATATTTGACACTAAAGCCTCTTCATCGCGTCTTGTGCTCAAGCCTTGAGTCTGTGATTCTCAGCCTTGATATGATGATGATCTCTACCTAAAAAGTCCATTTTACTTTCAGTTCTTCATTGTGTAGTTTTCGGTTCTCTACACCAGGAGTATTTGGAAAATTCATTAAACTTTTTTGTATTAAGTTAGCCATTATCTCTGTTTTAACTCATCTAAGAAAATCATCAGCATATCTCACAAATAAAGTCATAAACTATGATGTAAAGATACAGTAGCCGAAAGTAAAAATCTAGGTAACCATACAATATCAGTAAAAAATGTTCAATAAAAGGTTTTCATTCATTTGTTGTTAGTAAATTTTATCACTTCCATTATTATTTTGAGCATACTAATATTCATAATTTGGTCCTATGCTTCTTCATTCAAATATCTATATAACCAAAATCGTCGTCATTGTAAGCTCTATAGATTCAAAGTTCATCGTCTTTCAAAGCCAAAGCCTTTGAGCTCAAAAACTGTCGTCATTCATATTGACCTTCACTCAACTGTCTTACAAATTCTTTTAAAATCTGTCTTGCTAGTTCCTGTTTATTGACATCTGTCTTCCTAATTCCAGTCAATTCAAAATGCGTCTTCCAAAGTCCTAATACTCGAAAATGTCTTCCTAATTCCAGTCTATTCAAAATCTGTCTTCCTAATTCCCGTCTATTCAAAATCTGTCTTCCTGATCCCTGTCTATCTAAAAAACTCTCTCCCAAATTCCTGCCTATTCGAAACGTGTCTTCCAAACTACTGTCTTCAAAAAACTGTCTTGCTAATTCCCGTTTAATTAAAAGCTGTCTTCCAAACTCCTGTTTTCAAAAAACTGTCTTGCTAATTCCCGTTTAATTAAAAGCTGTCTTCCAAACTCCTGTTTTCAAAAAACTGTCTTGCTAATTCCCGTTTAATCAAAAGCTGTCTTCCAAATCCCTGTATACCCAAAATCTGTCTCCCAAATTTTCGCCTATTCAAAATGTGTCTTCCAAACTTCAAACACCCAATAGTCTTGCAACTTCCCAATCCTCAAAAAAAAGGCCACTCATTTTTTCTCCCCGTCCCACCTACTCAGTTGCTCCAATGGCCGCAAAAACATCGTGTCGCGACCCAGGCATCACCACAAGTCGCGGGCCCCAAACCTCCTTTTTTTCCCCGAGCCTCGCACAATGATCAATGCCGCCGCGCTCCTCGAAATCTCCCACGAGTCCTTGTACGAGCACGTGTTCGCCGCGCACACCGAGCACCGGCCGTGCGCCCACCAGCACTTGGGATATGTGGACAAGTCCGCAGACAAAATCAACGTGTGTCTTCCCAGGGCAGGCGTCGACTTGTCGGTGCAGCAGCTGCTTCTGTCGCTTTCCTCCGGCACGCAGCTGTCCAGCACTGGGTTCATTTGCTGGCAGACGGCGCTGTACTTTGCCGACTGGGCAGTGGCGTTTGCCCCGTGCCCCTTGGCGGCGGTGCTCCACAAAGACAGCGTGGTGTTGGAGTTGGGCGCCGGCGTGAGTGCGGTACTAGCCGCGGTGGTGGGGCCCCGGGTGGGCCACTACGTGGCCTCCGACCAGGCCCATCTTTTGAAGCTCATGAAGCAGAACTTCCGGGCCAACGTGGTTTCCCAGCGGTACGACAGCAACACGTGCGCCAAGGACCGGGACCACGCGCCGCGGCGGCTGGACGCGGCGGCGAAGTGGAGCCAGATTGATTTTGTTGCCTTGGACTGGGAGGGCCCGGGGCCGGGCACACGGCGGTTCGCGGAGTTGACGGGGCGCCCCCACGCGGACGTGGTGGTTGCCTGCGACACCATCTACAACAGCTACTTGATCGCGCCTTTCCTCGCGTGCATGGCGCTGGCGATGTGCGAGCACACCGTGGCGGTGGTGGCGATGCAGCTCCGGGACGAGGCCATCACCGAGGAGTTTTTGGAGCGGGCGTTGCAGGCGGGCTTGCGTGTGTTCCAAGTCCGCGACGAGCACCTCACGCCCGAGCTCATCGAGGGCTTTGCCGTGTACTGTTTCCGGAAGCGGAAGGCGGAGGGGCAGGCGGAGGGGACCTGTGGTGAGCATATCCGGGGTGGGCATATCTGGGGTGATGTTGTCTGAGGACGGGATCTGGGATGAATCTGCAGATGGGATCTGGATGAGCAAATCTGATAGTGGGTCCTGAGGTGAGCATATCTGAGGATGGGACCTGGGATGAGCAAATCTGAGGATGGGACCTGGGATGAGCAAATCTGAGGATGGGACCTGGGATGAGCAAATCTGAGGATGGGACTTGGGATGAGCATATCTGAGGATGGGACCTGGGGTGAGCGAAGGCGGGTCAGGAACCTAAGCCGGAAAGAATTGGCGACCGAGACAACCTGCCCGTTTGCCTGGCCCAAGGCGCGGGCCCAAGTTTTGCGGAGCCTTGGTCTTCGCCGTGTGCCCGGGTCTATCGGAAGGTTGACTGGGGCCTTCTCCACGTTCAACTTTGAAAATGCCGCGACCGCCGGCTGGTCCTTGCGCCTGGCCCACGTTTTTGGCAAAATGACGCCCTGGGTTGGACTGTGGTGGCCTGCACGAGATACAGAAAAGTGCCCCTAATTCGAGATCTTGTACATCACTTCGGAAAAGGCATAGCCTGGCCCTGACGTACTTGACTCCGAATCACTTGGAGTGGCTTCTTCGGTTGCTTGACCGCCACACCCAACTGGTCGTGGCGGGGTGTCAAGGTAAAAAAACTCCATTTTTCAAAGTGTGCCTTGCTGGAAATCGTCATGTCATTGTTTTGAAGACTCGTTTCCTGTTAACAGTGATGCAGTGCCCTGTCTGGCATGCTTGGAAATGTATGCGAGCATCCAGATCACCACATGTCACTTCAAAACCTTCTGATAGTTCACAAAATGAAAACCAGATGAAAACAAAACCAAAAACAAAACAAAATCAAAAACAAAACAAAACCAAAGAAATATGACAAAACAAAAAACAAACAAAGCCGGGTCGGGACCCTCGCACATACCCTGTAATCGAGCGTTCCGTGCAAAAACGACCCACCCATGAAAAATCTGATGAAACACCATATGCCGAGGCAAATTGCCAGTAGCCTCTCCGCTCCTCAACACGCCTTATGCTCAATAGCCAAACATTTGGAAATATGCCGATAGTCCAAAGGACTGCCACTGTCTTGTGCGCACGTGACTTGCGCACGGGCCTGCTATGAGCTCCCAGATAGTGCACGCTTAACGTCAAGCCAAACCCGATATCGCATCTCGTATCAATTCGTGCGCCGGCTCTCTCGTGAATCTCTCGGCAATTCGCACAGCCCGATCTGCAATACGAGGCGACCGCAGCACTGGGATCACCAAGCTGCCCAAGTCCATCGAATCACCTGCACCGCTAGGATGTCTGCCCTGACTTCCGAGCAGCCGGCACCCAAACGAACTGGGCCCCGGAGTTCTGCGCAAAAAACGTCGGAATTTGCCAGAAATAAGAAGAAAGTATCCAGCGGCAATCGAGGTCAAAGTACAGTTGCGGCGGGAAAGGCATCAGCGCCCTCTAAACCGAAGTTTGGTGTCGAGCCAAGCGGTAGTGTGCAGCCCAATTCGACAGCCCTGCAAGGGCTAAAATCACGCCAGGCCCGCCAGCGGCAAGGGGTCCCAGGGGCACGGAACCAAAATGTGGGCAAGCCCCTGAGGTCGCAAAATCCGGCGAAGAAAGCCGATCATGCGGCTGGCATTGGTGCCGCAAGTCTGGACATAAAGCACAGGCAGCCCACGACAGAACCTGTAGCGGAAACCACACAAATGCGACATTTGCCCAAGAGGGGAAAGGACCCCGTGATCAAATACACCCCTGAGGAGGTGGCCGCTGCAGGGCCGCTTTTCCCGGACCCGGCGCAGTACGGCTTCATGAAACCCCAACAGCCCGCCAAGCCACGGCCCGTGCCTCGCTATATGCTTGTCCAGCCGCGTCTCCTTGCTGCACCACCATTCAAACAGCTTCCGTGGGAAAAGGCGAACCAGGATAAAATGCTCCAGATGGAGGCCGCCAACACAGGCTCGGACTACCTGGGCATATACGAGGAGTTCCAGAAAATGAGAGAAACAGAGCGTGCCAAGATGGAGGAAATGGGGCTCGTGGACGCCGAGAACATCACCAAGGACTTGAACGACGCCATTTTCTTCCAAGGCACGTGCCTCGACATGTGCCCGACCTTCGAACGCGTGCGCCGGTCGCTCGAAAACAACGTCAAGGCGCTTGAAAAAGACCCGGTCACCCAGCGTATATCGCGAGAACGGGCCGTCAAGGCGTTTTCCCGCCCGGCCGCCGGCCAGCCGCCTCCCATGCCTTCGGACGTGCGGCCGCCCACTGTGCTAATGAAAACACTCGATTATATCGTGGACACGGTACTTCCACAGTTGCCCGAAACACACTCATTCATCTGGGACAGAACACGGTCCATTCGCCAGGACTTCATCTACCAGAACTACTACGGCCCGGAGGCCATTGACTGCAATGAACGCATTGTACGAATCCATCTATTGTCGTTACACATAATGGCTGGCAGCGACCTCAAGTACTCGCAGCAGCAGGAGCTCGAGCAGTTCAACAAGGCTCTTCAAACATTGACAGAAATCTACCTGGATGTGCGGAACCACGGCGGCCAATGCCCCAACGAGCCCGAGTTCCGGGCGTATCATTTGATCAGTCATTTCAGAGACCCCGAATTGGAGCGGGAAGTGCAGACTTTGCCTGACTATATATTCCACAGCCCAGAGGTGCAGCTTGCGCTTCGCTTCCGCATGATCATGTCGCAAAGTAACGTAGTGGAGCGTGGTTACGTGAACAAGATCGGAGCGGTGAATTTGTTTGTGGAGTTCTTCAAGTTGGTGTATAACGAGTCCACCCCGATTCTATTAGCATGCTTGCTAGAAACACACTTCAACGAGATCCGGTTCTATGCGTTGAAGTCGATGTCTCGGTCCTACCACACCAAGGCCAAGGCGTTTCTGGCGGAGTCTCTACGCCAGATGCTCGGCTTCGACACCCTTCTGAAACTCGAGGATTTCGTCAAATATTACGAGATCGATATGCTCGAGGAGCATGGCGAGTTGCACGTGGATCTCTGCAACAAACAGAAACTAGAACTGAAGTACAAGCTCAATTCCTTGAATGACAAGCCTAAAAAGTCGCCTGCCTACTCGCCGCAGCTTGACTACCGGCTACGCAATCAAGCCATAAAAAGCCTTGTCAACTGTGGACACTCGAATGCAGACCTCCACATGGACCGGGCTAAAATTGATGAGGTGCTCCAGAAAATCGTCGCCCAACAGAATGTTAGGAAGGAATCTGGCCTGGCACACATGTCACACATAAATGCTACAGGAACCGGAACAAACACTGGCATACCAGGCCAAAAAGTGCCCAGTCAAGCACAACCTTTCCCACCTATGCAGTCAAAATCGGCTTTTGGTGCCCTTCCCAGTACCGCAACAAACCAACAAACTCAGGGAAGCTCTTTTAATCTTTCCGATTTCTTGAAGAGCAAGACGGCGTCTTCAGTATCATCGCAAAACGGATTTGGACAGGCTTCAACCGCTCCCAAATTTGATTTTACAGGCAACTCCAAGGCCCCGGCCCAACCGACCCCCGCATTTGTACAGCAGAAAAACTCTGATTCTCTGATACAGAGAATCGAGGAAAAGCATGTTCAATTTGCAAATTCAGTTGAACACAAGCAAACTGCACAATCTTCATCGCTCTTCGGAGCCTCAGTTACCAATAAGCCTCAGCTTACCTCGAAGGCATTCGAAGGTTCTTCTAGTGCTGCAGAGAAAAATAAAAACATGAATGTCAATGAATTTAAAGAAAAAGACAAAACAAAACCGGAGCCGAAAAACAACGCTTCAGAAAACAAAAACGTTTTCACTTTTGGTGGTGCTAGCGACACAATGAATACCAGTCTGGCATCAAACCTCAAACCACCATCGGCTTTAAGCCCTCCTCAGGTAAAACCAAAATTTCTCAAGGATAATCAGCTTTTCACTAGGGCGCTCCATTCGGTATACACAGACCTTGTCAGAGATATCGTCCAAACCGAGCTCCACAAAATCACTACCCAGGCCATGCAGAAGCAGATTCGAGCCAATGAGAGACAAAGATTAATAGATGTTTTTGCAGATGAGCTTTACTCGGCTTTTCTTGCGGAACAAACGCATCAGGCGATGCTAGAGAGCGCTGCAAAAGTTTTTTACGAGAAGAATTTGAAGAGAAGAGCAATCTTTGGGCTTCAGATTGTGGGAAGAAACCTATACAAGAAACACGAGGCGAAACGACAAAGGAGAAGCGAGGTTGAGAACCTTTCCTTCCAAACACCTGCCCTCAAACGCAAAGCCTCTAACAATTGGGAGGAGACGTCTTTTGCAAAACGGAGAATATCATCGGGTTTAGCGAGGGCTAATACCAGCTACGAGGATATGAATGAGAGGCAAACACAATTACAGCAGCTATGGGAACCAATTGATCTCGCGCAATTTGTCGAAATATGTTCAAAAGATGTGAAAACGAGGCTTGATACCGGAGTTGTTGCTCTCAATTGTATCGTCATTGCGGAAGATTGGGCCTCGTCTTATTCGAAATGGCTTAATACAAAACTCTCCCTATCTGTTAGTGAGGACAAGTCTCACTACATCAACCAGGTTGAGTCCAAGGGTTTGAGAGTTGCATTTCGCAGCCTTCCCAAGACCAACTTCGTGAATGAGGAGTCCTTTCGCAGTACGCCTTTTCTTATATTTGAATGCGGACTTCTTGAAGATAAACAAGTTGCAAGGTATAAAACTCTAGGAGCAAAACTCAGGCGTGACGGTGGCATCTTGTCAAAAATCATCCAGCTTTGTGATAGATTTTCTTATTATAAAGTGCAGATTCTTATTCTTGTGTGGGATATCACGAGCAGTGGCACACTGGGCGAGAAACAATCAGAGCTTCTTCAAACAGACAAACTCATGAAGACAGAGAATTGTGTTCAAAACATAAACATCAGTGACATGTCTGCTCCATCGGCGGATGTCACGGGAGATTTACAAAAACTTCTTCATGACATGGGTGAAAGATTCACAGGCCAGCTTTCGAAACGAGGTGTTCAAAAGCGCGTCTTACATTCGAAGCTTCAAGAGGCCATCCTCGATACGGAGAAGCCGACTTCCTCGACAGAGGAGGTGGAGAGTGCTTCAGCGTCTCTTCGGGCCAAAGAGGCGGAAATCTTGAAGAGGGCCCGGGACTTACAGAAACGGAGGTATTTATCTGCGCATGCTACAGCGAATAGAAACGGGGACTTGACAAATCTTTCAGGCGTGTTCCGGACACCAAACGGGAGCTTCGCCAATCACACGTTGATGAACTATAACAACACGATTTTGGGAAACAATACTTTTCTTCCCGCGCGTGATGCCTCGTTTCTAAGATCTTTTGCGAATGCCAGTGTCATCGAAGAAAGCACGCCCATGGGCTCGCCCGGGCCTAAATCCAGAACGGCACATACACAGAATCCACGCGCTGGGGCTTAGTGAGCAGATTACTTGAGCAGAGGTTGTGCTGTCTAAGCTGCCACTTTTCTCAAAAACTCCATCGCCATAGCCGACAAAATACGGGAGCGATGACTACAAATCTTTTCGAGCCCATACCTTCCAAAAGGGCAAGATTATCTTTTTCCTGGCCCTCGTGTGCCGCCACGTCAGAGGTTCGGCGCACATAATCGCACTGAGCCTGCACATACCGCGCAACTGAGTCTGTTCGACTTGTCTCCGCCCTCGAAATGTGCGGGCGTATCAGACACATCTCTCTCAATACCCCAAACACAATGGACTTGATCAAAGAAATCTCGAAGAACATTAACTTGTACGAAGTTAAGGCAAACATTCGTAAAGCACAGAATGGTATGTGAAATTGCACGCAAGACTTGGAACACATGGTGAGCCTGCCCCCCTGAGCATCGTTCGGTAAGCGCTGGATCTTTAGAAAATGCCGCAGCAAATAAACAAATAGCATATGAATTGGATGAAAGAAACTTCGAGTTTGCGGAAAATTATGACTGACTTTGATTCACGCCGCTTATTGTTTTTGTGGCACTCCAGGAGGGAGGTTGATCGACCCCTGGTTTACCCGCCGAGTCTACCCTCCACACACGCAAACTTCCTCGAGTATGCCCGTAAAGCACATATCTTGAGTTCACCATAAGTTTTAAACCTTCATACTAACTAGCTTGTAGTTGCGTTGAACTTATCTGAAATGGAAACCAAAGTCCGAGAGGCCACTAACAATGAGCCTTGGGGCGCCAAGACGTCTCTCATGGCTCAAATTGCCGCAGGTACTTACAACTATAGAGAAAGAGAGGAGATTCTCAGCTTTATTTTCCGCAGATTTACCGAGAAAGCGGCAAACGAATGGAGGCAAATTTACAAGTCGTTGCAGTTGGTCGAATATCTTATCAAAAATGGGCTGGAGCGGATCATTGACGATATCCGCGCGAATATCTCACTCATCCAGATGTTGAAGTCGTTTCACTACATAGATTCCAAGGGCAGAGACCAAGGAATCAATGTGCGCAACCGGTCCAAAAACCTCATTGCGTTATTAAACGACGACGCTTTGATCCGCCTGGAGAGAAAGAAGGCTAGAGCAAACGCGAAGAAGTTTGGTGGTGTGTCGTCCTCGGCGTTCGGCGGTGCCTCGTCGATTTCTGCTGGCGATGGCTTTGGCGGCGATGACGACTTCAACAACCGCGTGTACGGCGATGGCGGCGTTTTCGGCGCTCGCTACGACGACCCAGCCTCTGCGTACAACAATGGTGCTACAGGTGGAGACAACAATTTCGAGGAATACGACGTGGAGCCCACTGCGATGAGCGGGTCACGTGCATCAAAACCGACGACAAGCTCTTCAAGAGTAAACGCAGGATTATCATCTACCGGCTTGTCATCGCTGCCTTCGAAGAGCAAGTCGCAGCTGCAGGCCCCGGCACAGGACTTGTTGGGTGACTTGGTCGACTTTGGCGGCTCGGAGACCGCTGCCCCATCCACTGCACAGGTAAACAATGGTGCCGAAGAGGAAGATGATGACTTCGACGACTTCCAGAGCGCCCCTTCGCTGTCTGCAAATGCCACGGGTGGGCTCACAAGCAATTTGGCCAACTTGTACGTATCGCAACCAACTTCGATGCCCCAATATGGGCAAACACAATATGGGCAAACACAATATGGGCAGACACAATATGGGCAGACACAATATGGGCAGACACCCCAGGCCCAGCCCAACTACAACTTCAACAGCAGCAGCGCGAGCGCTGCTTCCGTGGGGCCGGCCAAAGCCTCGACCGATGCATTCTCTTCGTTGTTTTCCAGTGCCAAAACAAAGACCAGCACCGCGCCAAAGGCAAAACCAGCGGCGTCTTCTCAGCACAACGATTTCCTGACTGATGATTTTACAACTGCAGGTACGGGAAGTAACTACTCTTCTACGAAGCCACAAGAAGCCTCCAGCTCTAACACTGGTGAAGTTGACTTGTTGAGTTTTTGAGCGTGCTGGTGAGACAAGTTTGGAGAGGCCGCGAGAGCTGTCGAGAGCCATTCATATTCTACACAGAATATCTGGGTTAATGGATGATAATCGCGTACACAAGAAACAGACGGCCTGTATTGAGATAGCCAGCGAGCGCTTTGCTTGGATGTTCTACTTCGGGAAATTCTCCGAGGTTCTTGGGAGACTAAGCCATTCCATATATTGAGGTTGACCACAAGGACGCAGAAAGTGCGTCCGAAACCCGGAAATTGTCATTGCGGCAGGAACTCATGTACTAAGACAATACACTCTCTGGCATGGAAGTACATAAACATAAGGTTTGTATCAACGGTTTGCCAGAGAGCGTCTCCGAACAACGGGGCCGAAAGAGGGCATATGGGTAGCGCGCATTTCCTGGAGAGAAGGTGCGAGAAAGCAACTCCGCGGCGGTGAGAGGTGGAAAAAACCCCCAGCCTTACCGCTTGAATTCTCCTGATCCCCCACACACTAAACCACCAAAATGTTGAAAACCTCCGTCAGATCTCTTTCCAGCACCAGCAGAGTCCTTGGAACCAAGGTGTTCATGACCACGTCGATTGGCGGTCACAAGCAAAACCCCATCAAGTTTGAGTTGTTCGACGAGGTTGTGCCAAAAACCGCCGAGAACTTCAGAGCCTTGTGTACCGGCGAGAAGGGATTTGGTTACGCCAATTCCAGCTTCCACAGAGTCATTCCTCAGTTCATGTTGCAGGGTGGTGACTTCACCAGACACAACGGTACCGGCGGCAAGTCGATCTACGGCGAGAAGTTTGCGGACGAGAACTTCTCCAAGAAGCACACCAAGCCTGGTTTGTTGTCGATGGCCAACGCCGGCCCCAACACCAATGGGTCGCAGTTTTTCATCACCACGGTGCCATGCCCATGGTTGGACGGCGCCCACGTGGTTTTCGGTGAGGTGATTGAGGGCATGGACGTTGTGGAGAAGATCGAGGCGCAGGGTTCCCAGACCGGTTCGCCAAGAAGCAAGATTGTCATCGAGGAGTGTGGCGAGTTGACTGAGTAATTCTGCGACATCCGTAGACTGCCGGGATGGCTGAATGCGTTCTCAATCCTTCTCTCGAGCCTATGTGTTTACACTGGCTGTAGATGGGGAATTTGGGATTGCACGCTATGAAGTATTCCCGCTTGTTGTATATATGCGATCAATTCTTATATCCTGTTTATGTGTCGTCAATTCCTAAATCTTGTTCATGAGTATGGACGAGTGTTTGGTGAGTGAATGGAACCAGGTCTATCTTTGGGTAGGTACAAAGGACAAGATCAGCCTGTTTTTTTATCTGGCTGAGGGTAAGTTTGGGATCCGGCTACATTCACAGCAGTATGTGGAGGGAAGGCTTGGAAAGATCCACTGATTCGGGAAACCTTAGTGTGCTCCGTTTCTGACGTCTGAGTATGAATGATGGATCAGTGCATAACATTGAAGCCACATGAATGGGGTTGTTTAGTCAGAATTTATTCTGATGAGCCCATTGAAAAACCGGGAGAGGAAACGAAAGGATTGTGTTCGACAGCTACGTGCATGAAATCATGGGCCGATAGACAAGTCAAATAGTATGAAAGATGGCATTTGAAACAAACACAGAGAATAAAGGGGCTTTAAATCAAATTGATAGATCAGCCAGAAGAGAGGGCTGATCTACGAAGGCATGAATTACTTTGTATGCTTTTAAACGGAGCTTCACGGACTTGAAAGCACAGTGTAGTGGATGAGCGAAAGTTAGACAGTATACCATATGGACTGGTCCGAATCTCTCAAGTGTATGATTTCAGGCGAAATCAGCCTTATCCAAACAAGGAGTGGCATAGCTGATATTTTGAAGTCTATTTACTTCATATCAAGTACGTTCGTACGCAGGGGTCCATATGTCGGTCATACTATCTGATGTTCAGGTGTATTTAGCTTCAACATTACCGAATCTTGGCTCAACAGTACCAAGACCTGTTGGAACAATCTCATACATTAAAATATTGGTACATTGATTCAGTAGCCTAATCAGCGTGAGGAAATATTGCCACTTTATTTTTCCAGTCGAACAACAGGGTGTTACGGTCATTGGGGAGTAGCAGTGATAAAGATGGACCGATATTTTCTCTATTCTATCATTTCATATCAACAGGTTATGGACCATGTGATGCATTTTGTGAAGGAGATACTCATTTGGGTTCACAGAGGTGAGCCACAACCTTGGCTACGTCGTATACCCGCATATACCAAAGTACGTGACAAAGATGTTAGTCTGCATTTTATAAGAAAATGTAAGTTTGCAATTTATATCAGAGCACGATGCTAGTCTGCATTCTATATCAAGGTACATGGAAAGCATGATTGTCCACCTTCCGCTCAGGTACTTGGGAACACCACTATCCCTTAAGATTGGTAGATAGCATAAATCTACTAAAAAGAATTTGCTCAGTATATCCCAGCCGGAGCCTCCCCAAAACAGAGCTCGGCAGTCACACCCCAAGCAGTATGGACGACCATAACAACGGCCGCACACTACAGCCCAGTGCTCTTATTAATGATATGCATTGCCCGGGAGAGGTGTATACACGAGGGACGTATTTATGATGTGTGTGGTTTAGATGCCGATCTTCTCGTTGCGTTCCGGCTGCGGCACCAAGTCTGCGGGCATCTTTTTCTTCAACGAGGCCAATTTGTCGTAGTCGCCGGCCAAGATGCGTGCCACCACCAAGTCGTCTCTGTCGCTGAGCTCCCGCTCGGACTTGCCCTCGTTGGACAAGAACTCCTTGGCCTTCTCGGTGTCGCCTTGGAAGTACTCCTCCATGGCTCTCAACCGCAACTCCTTGCGGGCCCACTCGGGACCCTCTTCGGCGCGCTTCTTCATCTGCGCCGTGTACTTCGAGTACACCACATAGAAGAACACGGGCAAGATGATGTAGAAGTAGGGCAACTCCCAGCCCTCGGCCTTCTCTGTTTCACGCACAACACGCCATTTTAGCTCGCCCGTGGTCTCGTCCTTGTAGGGGATTTTGTCCACGACTTTGCCGGCGTCCTTGCCGACAAACTGGAAGTTCTGCAAGTCTTGCGAGTTGTCCTTGAACAACTCCAACTGTTCTCTGGGAATGCCGGGGAGAATGAAGTTCCACTGCGAGTGGTTTCTGCGGTAGAAAAGATTCTGCAACTCGGCAATGGTCTTGAACTCGCTGTCCGTGGGCACGCGGGGCGTGCCGTCCGGGTTCGAGTAGATCTTGCTGACGGAAGGTAACGTGTCTAATTTCGCTCTGATGTCCTGCTCGAGAGCGTAGTTGAACTTGCCCGGCTTGAGCTTGAACAAGCTGCCAAAGGGCACGCTGAATGTGAATCTGGGCATACTGACGTGGGCGGGTCCAGGGCGGATTGGCGGTGGTGTGGCGTGCCGTTGTGGTGTGCTGGAAGGGCTTCTGGAGGGCCCGGTTGGTTTTTAACATTCTTTTCATTGGTTGCACCGTGTTCCTGCAGGCAGCACCGCGGTCTTGCTCGCGCACTTTGGTGCTGGGCCGTGGACTCGATGGTGCCTGGATAGAGGGTGAGTCTTTGGCGGCCACTTGGTCTAAAAACACGGGGCGTGGGTCCGAGAGGGAGCGGGAACACTTGGATTCACTGTGTGGGCCGTGGAACCGAGGGCCGGAATTTTGAGGCTTTTTTTGCGGGGCTAGGGCTTTTTGCACTGGATGGTGTAGACAGGCTGAGGCCGGTTCCTTTCGCGCACGTCGAGTGGCCCTGGCTTTTCGCTTACATTCGGAGTGTGCTGGGATCGGAGCTTCGATTCTTCTTTCTCTTCGGTTTCTGTTTTTCTCGTGTTTTGATTTTTTTCTTTTTCTGTTTCTGTTTTTCTTCGGTTTCCGCCTTCGTTCAGTTTGCTGTTTTTGGTTTGCTCCACTCGATTTCGGTTTCTTGCTTCTTCTTTTCCCCAGTGGTTGGTGCTTGTTGTGGGGCCCACCATATCTGACAGGCGCACTGATTATTAGGCACTGTGCGCCAGCCCACCTTTCCCTCATTGTCGGTTTTCATTTCCACTTTCATTTTCAATTTCATTTTCATTTTCATGTTCATTTTCATTTTCACTTTCATTTTCACTTTCATTTTCACTTTCATTTTCACTTTCATTTTCACTTTCATTTTCACTTTCATTTTCACTTTCATTTTCACTTTCATTTTCACTTTCATTTTCACTTTCATGTTCATTTTCATGTTCATTTTCATTTTCACTTTCATTTTCACTTTCATTTTCACTTTCATTTTCACTTGCATTTTCACTTTCAATTTCACCTTCATGTACACTTTCGTGTTCACTTTCATTTTCACTTTAATTCTTCTGTGCAATCACACCCCGCAGATTGCAAAAGCCAGTTTTTGATTGAAGTTGCGGGAACGGCCGGAGCCATGTTCAGGCCCAGCAGCGTGCCGCAAGTCTGCTAATAACGCAGCCTTCTATATCAAAGAAGTAGAACAGACTGGCCCTCAAAAGCAAAAAAGTTAGAGTTAGATCTCTGCTTTCACTCCATAACGCCAATGCTGTGAATGAGACTCTATCTTTTTTGGCCGCCTCAGGCATCAGTTCTGCCGAGTGCCGGCGTACCATTAAGTAAGTATGCCTTGAAAATCGCATCTTGTCTGAGACATGTTTGGTGTGTCTCGATGCTGATACCAACCAGGCCAATAAAGTACTCGTAGATATCGTTGGGGTTTGACAGCGGAGAAAGTACGTTGCATGGCTTCCTCATCTGACCCCAGCAGATCACAACAAGACACCCCAAAAGCCCATTCCAGCATTTGGGAATCCTCCAGGTCAATGCAAATATACCCATTGGCTTCAAAGTCAAGCTCCTATTTCTCCGGAAGAGCACCCATGATTGATTTTTCCATGATATGACATCCACTAATTGAGCACTGTCTCACCCGTGTATCGCCTTCTCGTACTGTGCATATCCACCATCCACTCAGATTGCCCCGCCTTTTTTTAACGATAGCACTATCCCGCCTTCGTCGACCCGAACCCCTCGAAACCCATGAGTTTGCCCATTTCGGTCTGCTCGACCTCTCCAGCAGCAGTCGCCCTGGCTCGTTTCTTTTTCGCCAGCCGTCTGGACGACTTCTGCTGTTCAAACTCAAGCCTTCGCCTGACTCTTTCCTGGAAACTTAGCGCGACATGTCCATTACTATCTGCCGCCTTCTCACGGAGCAGTTTCTTCACGAGATCCTCGATCGTGGCGATCACCTGGTCCACCGAGGCCCGCTTGACGCCGTTTTCAAGCTCCTCGCCCATTCCCAAATCCCCGCCCTGCACTTTCCGGACATTGTGCAAATGTTGCGGAGAGTTGAAGTGATCTACAAGTGCCAAGGTATCTCTGAACGATAAATCACACGTCGGGCACGAGAAACCAAACCGCTTGTTTTTTCCGTATGTCAGCGACGTGGCATTCTCCGAGCCAATGAGCGTGTGCTTGCCCACAGAATCGATAGCCTGGTCTAAGAGGTCTGCTCGATGTTCTAGGAAATTTTGTTTCTGGAGTTTGCGGGCCCAGGCCTCGTCAGAAGGCTGGGTTGTAGTGGTTTTTTTCCCGCTTTTAGCATCGGCTTCATATGCATCCACGTCCCATTTCTTACGCCCGTACTGATCTGTGGAGGTTTTATCGGCCATGGTGACGAGTGTCGGAAGTAAGCGGTGTATATAGGATATGGTATCGTGAGGTCTGCCATGCACAATGAGATTAGAGGTGCGCGATACGAACAAGTGATGAGGTTTGAATGGAAGTTTGTCGTGCAAGAATCTTTTTTAGAATTAGAGGCTATGAAGTTTTGAAGATATCCACTGAAGCTCGTGTGGGATCCTCCAGAAATTTGTGCCTTGCTGGGACTCTTGCTATGTGCTACAGAGGCAGGGTCTCTCGGCATTCACGATATGCGGAATGAACACAGTTACAGTGATAACAAAGACATTGAAGCAGTAGAGCGATTTCTCGCTGGGTCCAGCAAACTGTTTTCGTGACCTCTGTTCCTTTTATGGATGAGATCAATGATTCCCGAAGCCTTGATGAAGTACTATGGTTTAATTAGCTGATTCTAGCGTTACGCATTAGTGGTTTGCCACACGTCTCTAGAATATTGACACTGGGTGCTTGGAATCCATATGGCAAGATCCGATCTGATAATACGAATGTCATACAGCTTCAAATGGATCAACAAGTCGCCTCACATGATGCTATGGTTTTTTGCAATTGAGACAGGAAACCACGTGACCCACGTTCTTTAGGGTATGTGTCGTAGCGCTTCTCCACAACTCAGTATCTTTCAAAAATAGGTTGGACAATAGCCAGTGAGCTGGTCGTGCAAGTTACCAGATCTGCATTTACTAGATCTGCTTCAACAAACGCATATACAAGGTGGTCTTACACTCGTGTAACTATTCGTAAAAGACCTGCTGAGATGGATATACTTGGCATGATGAGGGCCAAAGCCCAAGCAACAACGGGGCAGCCTAGCGCAACTGCGGAGCATCGCAATGATCTCGTTAAGGAGAAAAGTGGCAAATCAACAGATACAGACAAAGGTGAGAGCTTCCAGCTGGACAGTATACTTAGTCCTCAATGGAAGATTCATGGCTCGCACATGGTCACTCGGCTTCCTCTGGCCTCTTCTTTCAGATGCTTCTATAAAGATAAGCTAGATTCCGATTCTAAGAAAATTCGTGTGGCGGCGTTTGACATGGACGATACGTTGATTTGCACGAAATCGGGGATCAAGTTTGGCCGGGGCCCTTACGACTGGAAGTGGCGTAATGATCAAATTCTTCCGGCGCTTCAGAAGAAGGTGAAGGACAAAAACATGGTGCTTGTCATCTTCACGAACCAAAGCGCCGTCTCTGTGACTGAGCTGCTTGCGCCACACTCGAAATCTTATAAGAATTTGTCTTTGAAGGTGGGGCTCATATCCAAAGCACTTGAAACAGGTATTGGTCCGACACCGGTTCTTTTCTTCGCGTCCACGGGGAGACCGAGACAGGGGGTATTAGCTCGGAGCTCGTTGGAGACCCATTTCAGCCACAAAAAGCCCGAACTGGGCATGTGGTCAGAGTTGGAACGGTATATAAGGAGGTGTTTCGGCGAAGAATATTCGGTCGACTTGGATCTCAGTTACTTTGTGGGGGATGCCGCAGGGCGGGACGGCGACCACCTGGCGGCTGATAAGGGCTTTGCTGAAAACGCCGGTGTGCCGTTTTTCGTTCCAGAAGATTACTTCGGTATATGAGATTCTGCAATGAACTGCAAGATTGTCAATTGGTGTATGTACAAGGTGGACCGGGGCAATCTTGATCTATTCCAGTTACAATGCCTTGTCGGAAGGCATGCATTTGCGTCGTGTAAGCGGGTCCTTGGGTCTTTTCAAGCGAAGCACCTCTTCAATCGATATCCAAACATTTCCACAGGTCTGGACGAAGCAACTTCAAGATCGCGTTCTCGCCCCCTGGAAGCATCTAAATCTTCTTCACCTTATCAACAATGTCGAAGTAGCCCACGACATTGTTGATCTGTCTAACACTATCGACGCTCATGTCGGCCGCGAGATTTTCATCGAAATCGCCAGATGCCACAACACATGAATGGACGTCGGCAACATCGTTTTCAAACTTGATGGCCTCTTCCGTGGTTTGCGGATAGTTCATCAAAACAATGGTGGTGTCGTACTGGCCACCGGTCGTGTTCATGAACAACTGTACTTCCTGCTTAACCAACGCAGTAACCAAGCCCCTGGGTAGCGATCTGCCTTGGGCCTTCAAATCCTCGAGCAAATACGAGTACTTTCCTTGTTCCTCCATTTCCTTCTGAATCAACAGCTGTGGGTGAATCACCTTCATCTGCTTTCCCTCAGGAACCACCGTCTGCAAAAGCTCCAAGATCTTACTCTGGTCGTGTGCAAATGGCACAGCGTAAAATGTATACTGGTTATTTTTTTCGACAGGCACCAACTTCAGCCGTCTTTTCAAGCCCGAATCCTTCTCATACTGCTCGAACTCACGCTCGGTAAATGAGGTCCGGGGTGCCTTCTTGGTCATCTTACTGGTCACAAAATAGAGGCATCCATAGGAGAGCAATACCACGGCAAACAAGTATCTGACTCTTGGGACTTTTTGTCTTTTCTTTGGAACGTTTGTGGAGTAGAAACGACTGGCAAGAGACACCTTAGATGTGGAGCCTTGAACAGCCTGTTTTGTGAAGTTGGTATAGTGGAACCCTGGCCGGGATCTCGCTTTGAACATGGAGAGCATCACGAATTAGTATCACAAGAGTATATATACAATATATCGTAATCCACTAAGTTAGAGATAAATACACGGCTAGCCGATGGCAAGTTTTTGGAGGCCTGGTGGTGTGATTCAGAATGGTGCTGGTGCTAGTGCGGAGGCCAGGCGCGTGTCACGTGACTCACGGTGAAGAAGACGAAAAAAAAGTATGTGAGAACCCGAACATACAGAATCCAAGACCCGGTAGACAGTGGACAATCAGGAGAAATTGGGCTAATCAGAGACCCAGTTGTTTTTACCTATTTTTTCTTCACCAACACATCACTATGTCTTTGGTCCACTTGTCGAACTTCTGTGCCCACATAAAGAACTGCACCAACGTGAGGCTTTCCACGACCTCTGTTCCCTTTTCAAGATTGCATTTGCAAGTGGCGCTAGGTTTGTATAAAGAGGGATTTCTCTCTTCTATTCAAAAAGGCTCTACATCTGGCCCAGACCAGCTTCCTGTGGACGTCACGCCAGATAACATCTCTACACGTAGATTGTGGTTGGGGTTGAAATATAGAAAGAACATGCCGGTCATCAGAGACATGTCGATGGTGCTGAAACCCGGCAGGAAAGTTAATATGACCACCACAGAGGTCAAAGCATTGGCCTCGGGTCTTCCTGTCAGATTTATCAAGCCTTTGCAGCCTGCCGAGGTGATGTTTTTGAGGACTCCGAACAAGGAGATTTTCGAAATCCAGGAGGCGGCCAAGAAGGACATGGAGGGCATGGTGTTGTGCCGTGTGAAGTAGACTCTTGTATATAGAAAATGGAGGATTTTGTTGCGGAGAATGACCACTGTGTAATCCACGATATTGGGGTCTGTATCTGAACCCCGGAAATAGGGTCTGAACAGACTGTGGTTATGTAGTTTTGGGAGCACTACTAAAGTATTGCATCGATATATGAAACGTGAGGCCCATTGTATCACAGGCCTTCAAAAAGCAATGTATGCATGTTTATCAGCCAAAATTATTTTAAATTTGAAAGGGAGGGTGTCGCTAAATCCTACGAAAACGAGCATAAATTACCATACTTTTCAGAAATACCGGTAGATGCTCTTCATCGTATACGCCAGTCACGGCCAAAAAGCTGCTCGAATGCGGTGGTGCGCAACTGATTTGCCTTGTCAATTTTCAAGTACCGAGAAAGTCCAAATCAAATTCCTAGCGTCGGGCAGATTGTCAATACAAAGTTAAATTCTTAAGCTGGTTTATCCGATGATGCGATTGCTTCAATATTGAAAGCAAATGAAATTAAGAATTACAAAGACTTAATCATCTCCTTCCAGATGCGAGCCAAGAATTGCAGATTTGAACATACATTCGAAAGGTTCCTCAACACTAGCCCAGAATACGTCTATAGTACTACTTGTGATTCCTGGCACCCTGTCCATTCCCTCATATCAACTTGCCATCCTTTCCAGGCCAATACTCTTTCTTTATAGTCGCCATTACTAGACGCTGATGCCTCCTCGTTGGTTTGCGACTCATTGGTGGTCAATACAACCAGCACTTGTGAATCGGGTTGAGCCAGCGGCTCATTTGTGTTTATCTTATTTGAGATTGATTGAGAGAATGGGGGTTCTGAGGGCCTTGCGCTCAGTTTCTCAAGTTCATTCCTCAATTCCGTCACTTGATCTTTCAAGTCCATGTTCTCTAGTTTCAAGTCGGTGTTTTCGTCCCGGAGCTTTTTGATTTGGTTTTTCTGAAGCTCAATCGTTTCATTTAGCTCATTAATATGTTCGGGGTTCTCAACACTGTGGCCTTCCGGATCATTTTTCAATTCGACGTGTCCACTTGTATGGATATCTGTGGGTGACTTCAGCACACTGGGCCTCAACTGAGGAATCTTGTTTTTCTTTTTTAGTTCCTCAAACTTCTGGCGTGCTGCTTTGAGCCTTTCTTCTATGGAAATCTGAGGCAGGCTCATATTGTATGGAATAAGTAATATTGTTTTGTCTGGTGGTTTGCGGAGTACCATAGACAGCATGAAGATACTCAATACTCTATTCCGGGTGTGCACATAATACAATCTCAAGACAATAAGGCCAGTCAGAACAAACATTCCACCTTCTCGAAGTCACTCGCAGGTAAAGGATTTTTAAGGGAATATTAGATAGCTAGATATCTGATTTAAGAGTTTCTTGAAGCATAAATCGTAAAATTTACACATCAACTCTTATTCCCATTATATTTGGACTCGAGTGTTTCGCATTCATACCATCGTTTTATCATTGATATGGGTTATGTGTTTCTTTCGGAGTAATATGGTCGCGTCTACGTATGATCAATTATCACGAGGGTCTCGATAAGGGTAAAATATCGCCTACTTATCATGAAAGCCCGTTGGACGGAATGCTGGAGGACGACAATCAATTTTTATCTTTAGAAACACAGTGCCAGAGTCATAAGTTAAAGAGCATCTTTGGTTTAAGAATGATGAGACAAGAAACCATCTCAGTGCATGCTTAGGAATCAGCGTGATCGGGGGTTTGGATTTAAAAAAAGAAGTACATTGGTTTAGAACTTTACTTGCTGTTCATACTGAAACTGTATAGGCACTGTATTTTCGGGCCTGAGAACTGTGGAACTGAAGAACTGTAATCTATCGTATATGTCCTCATTTGTGAAAGATCGATCAAGTTTTTGTGCCTCTGTATAGGTAAGGGCATTTCTGGCAATGAAAAAATTACAGTTCAGATTTACGAATTATACATCAGTTTGGAGTTTGTATGACGAAGGCGTGTCGATTTGACTCATTCTCTGCTGGGAAGAATTGACAAAAAACAGACGCCCACGGTACTTAAAATACGTTTTATGAACTCAGAGGCCTCGTAAATGCTCTTAATCTATAATTTACTTTGCACCCATGTGCCTTGGCTGTTCACTTTTATCGCATCATATATCACAACTAAAATCAAACAGTAGTCATTCGCATGCGATTGCAGTCATGCCATAGAAAAGACACCTTGTCCGTCCAGCCAACATGAGTTAAGCTTTGAAGGGCCATGATGAGTAGTAAAATGAGTGATACTTTGCAAAGTTGTGTTACTCTAAACTCTAGATTGCATATAGTATTTTTTGTGCTAGAATGTGATGTATTAGGAGTATCAGAGTGTCTTTTTCTGTAAAAGATATTATTTTCGTAAGTTTATGAACTTAAATGAAATTTCTTCATCGAATGACAACTGTTTAAAGAACCTTTATCATGCAAAATTTGTCGTCACCATGACCTTCAAGGTAGACCGGCGAGTAAAACGGAGTAACTTCATGATTTTGTCTTCGACCTTCTCAATTAAAGCGACTATTGGAGAGACTTTTTCCAGAGGCCAATGGCTCAAAAGAAAACACGCTTACCAAGAGATCATTAGACTGTGAGTATCGGATGGGAATGGCCCGCATTTAATCACTCGATACGAATTTGAGAACTGGTTAAAGGGTCTTATATAGCATTTTCCTCTCGTGAGATGAGCAAAGTAAAGTAAAAATATAAAGGAGAATTGATATAAACATTAAAATTCATAGGGCATACAATCGGGACGAGTTTGAAGTTTTGAACTCCGTATTAAAGTCGCTGCAAAACCCCTTTTCATGTCTAACTAACTTCAGGCTTAGTCCGATGCACTCCAAGGGGAATAGGCTCGCCAATTCAAATTAAATAGAGAGATGAAAATACAGACGTCTTAGGATAGGCTGATGAGCGGTTGGTGAATTATTGAGCAGATATTTTTCTCGAGTCGCAAGCTTTTTCAAAGATGTTCAGCGCAGACTTTTCTTTTTGTTTTTGTTTCTGGTGTGAATGAAGGTCTACGATACTGCACAGCAGTCAGCTGCGTTCTAGGATTGTAAGGTTTCTGCAAAAAGCGGCAGTGAGCCTAGCTCAAAAATCAACTATCTCGCTAAATAAATTCTCGCAATGAGAGTGTCGTCACATGCGGTGAGTAGTTTCGGTGTTAACGACGTGTTCACGCAGCCCCTTGTTATATGCACACACAGCCAAGCGAATACGGCTTGAAAGCATGACGCGCCAATAACCTCAAGGGTTGTTTCTTATTTTCGCGCCTGCAGATGATAAACTTTATAACTCTGTTCACTGTCAAATTTTTGGTTGATTTATAGGAATGGTGAAGATGACATCGTGAATGAAACTTAAAGCCGCAAGATCAGACAGCCTCTTGATTATTTTTTTTTTGTTTCTATTGCCACTTTTTCTTGCCTAATTCTAGCACCTCATTTGATTGGGCCTACTGATAAAGGTGGTTATGCAAGGTTGGGGAAGCCGTGCCCTTTTTTCTTAGTTAATTAGTCCCTCGCGGCTCTTCGCACCTTGGTGGTTACGTCAAAATACGAGCAGCAGCGAACAAGCCAATAAATTGCTTGCCAAACGCAACCAGATTTTTTTTTCCCGGACAGTCTCGCTCTTTTGTCGACATCTGTTTTCATTGCAAACTACTGTTGCATATTCGTTTCTGCACCTTGCGCATACGAAAAGTTTTCAGGTACATCCGTGGTTATTACCTCTGCGAGCCAACTAAGTTTGCGTTATAAATACCTAGCACGGTCCACCCAGGGTTTCTTCATTTCATAGTCCTTCATTAACACAACCGACCAAAAATGTCCGACTTTATTGGCGAATTTGCCGAAGTTGTCAGAAGAGATACCTGTGACACTGGGAATGAGTACAATGGGTTGATGGGTGTGAGAATCTCGTCCATTTTCGTGATTCTTATAGGCTCCGGGTTCGGTGCGTTTTTCCCCATCTTGGCTTCAAGATACTCGTTCATCAGAATGCCAAACTGGGTGTTTTTCTTCAACAAGTTCTTTGGCTCCGGAGTCATTGTTGCTACAGCGTTCATTCACTTGTTGCAACCAGCCAACGAAAACTTGACGGAAGAATGTTTAGGCGAAGGATGGCTGGTATACCCATACGCCTTCGCAATCATGCTTGTCACGTTATTTATTTTGTTTCTCTCGGAACTTCTTGTTTTCAGATTGGTGGATAAAAAGCTTGCCGGTGAATCCGAAGAAGGCCACTCTCATTCGCATTTTGGTGATGAGAAAGCATACGTGAAGAAAGGCAGCGATGATGACGACGAAGACGAAGCTTCAACCAGCGAGGATAAAAACACGGAAACACCTAAAGTCGAATCGCAATATCCGTCCCATTTCTCGCATGCCTCCGAGCACCAGGACATGGAAGTGTTGGGCACGCCCATGGACAAGAAAGACAAGGAGCAATATTTCGGCCAATTGGTGTCTGTCTTTGTGCTTGAGTTTGGTGTGATTTTCCACTCGATCTTCATTGGGTTGACTTTGGCCGTTTCCGGAGAAGAGTTTAAGACTTTGTACATTGTCATTGTTTTTCACCAGACCTTTGAGGGCTTGGGTTTGGGCTCACGTATCGCCACTACCGTGTGGCCAAAAAACAAGAGATGGACGCCCTGGATGTTGGCCCTTGGATATACGCTAGTCACACCCATTGCAATTGCCATTGGCTTGGGTGTGAGGAACTCGTACCCACCTGCATCTTCTACTGCTTTGATCACCAACGGTGTGTTTGATGCCATATCTGCTGGAATTTTGGTGTACACTGGGCTTATTGAATTGATGGCCCACGAGTTTTTGTTTTCCGGCGAGTTCAAGGGCGAAGGTGGAACCAAACGCATGCTCCAAGCTTATTTTTCTATGTGTTTTGGTTGTGGTATTATGGCCTTGTTGGGGAGATGGGCCTAGACGGCCTCGACGAAGAGGTTCCTTTATTTCTGCAGAATGAGAAATCTCATTTCTTTTGTTCTCGTGTCATCAAGGATGCCGAGAAACACTTTGAATACATAGTGACATCTAATCTTAATGCTTTTAATTTTCAAAATGACGCAAGCGATCGTTTTTCTGTCACTCTTTGTATTTTGTAGGGGATGTGTTTTGGCGGACAAATTATATCTCCAGCGTGGAGCAGGTTGACAGAAAGATGTTGAAATTGGGTGAATGTAAAAACAAGGCTATTGGAGATCTACTACAATACTTAGGATCAGAACGAAATATATTGAAGCTGTCATCGCATGGGAAGGTTCTTCTGCAATGGGTTCGCGACATATGGGGGATGTGCTTACTTTCTGATAGCACGGTAAGAATATATGGGGAGGGTTCGGCATATTTTCTAAAATGCGTGTTCTCCCTCTTTTCTCCGTCCCATCTCTTTGAACGAACCTATGATAGTGTTGCGTATGCGAATGACTACATTCCGAACTTGCGCTTTGTGACGGCATCCTGAAAATCCTTTACACATGTTGTGTGGAGAACTCCAAAAAAACATTTCCCCGAGCACTGACTGAATTTATGAAAGTCATAACCTACTCGGGCTCAGCTAGACAATGATGCGAGGTCGAAGAAATGGAATGATTCTGCAGCCAATACATGAAAGCACCGCACAAATTTCTGTCCCTTGTTTGAGTTTTTATGTGACAGCCCCTCATAACCTCTAAATGGTCTTTTTTTCTACATAAGAAGTTGTCAGAAATTGCATTCCGCAAGCCGATTTGACAAGCTCGCGGACAATAAAAGACAACGCTCGAGCGCAGTTGATACATGACACTTATGCGTGAAGATACTGCGTAAAGAGCCCGACTGTCATGTCAAAACTCAAGAATACTTTAAGAGAGCTTTTGCACGAGGTACAAGTAGAAGAAAGCTAAGCTCGAGAAAAGGGGCTCACTTGCGGTGTGTAAATGGTGAAAATTGAACCTGGGCCATAACCGCACGGGTCGCGCAGTGGTATTCTTGGCTTTTTTTTTAAAAAAAAGTGAAAAAAAGCCACTCCGTCGCCCGGTACATGGAAGGAATAACAGAGAAATCCGAGTTCGGGCTCGAAGCAAATGGCAGAAAGTTTGGTTCGAACGGTAGTTCCTCGAGGCCTTAAATTTGATTGGCTCGATCAAAGACAAGCTTTTGGCAAAAATGCGAATTTCTTGGACCGAAAAGTATGTGGAAGTACCGAATAGAAAACGAGCATTTGAAACCTGGATTTGTTTTGCGAGCGCCTGAAATTGGCAGACTCGAGGTTGTGAGTTACTTCCTTGAGTTGGCGAACAATAGAAGTAGGCTTGGCTTAGATGCAAGATGCGTCAAAATGGTAGTTACCGGCTGTATGCTGCTCCAGTCTACTGTCGTTCTTGCATGCCGTCGCTTCTCGATAATAAATTGCTCGGATTACCAGCGTGGTTACCAGGACTTGCGATATGCGTCTGTATAAAGTGGTGTGTTCAGCATTTGAATTTTTCAACCTTGATAATTTGTTTGCTGAAGCCGCCGTTCACCCGATCACAATGTTCTTCGATGAGATTGCAAAAAGAGAAAGCTGTGGCTTAATTAGCAGCAATGGGGAGCATGCCGAACTGATGGGTCTCCGAATTTCTTCTGTTTTCGTGGTTCTTGTAGGTTCGGGATTTGGGGTATTTTTCCCGATCTTGGCCTCTCGCTACTCCTTTGTGAGGATGCCCAGCTGGGTGTTTTTCTTCTGCAAATACTTCGGGTCTGGTGTTATCATATCAACGGCGTTCATCCACTTGTTGTTCGAAGCAAACGAGAATCTCACGAGCGAATGTCTCAGTAATGCGTGGCAGAACTATCCCTACGCATTTGGTATAATGCTTGGGACTTTGTTTGCGCTATTCCTCGCGGAAATTATGTCATTCCGGTTTGTAGAAAGCAAACTTGCGGGGCTCGACAATCACGGTCACTCACACTTCGGCGACGAGTCAGTGTATGTGGAGAGACCTGGGGAGTTTGACGACGAAATTTCTCTGGTTACACTGGAGAGTGCCGATCCGGGCTTGCTTGCTGAAAAGTATCCACCTCGCATAATAGACGTTCCAGACCTGGATGAGAAGGGGACATTGGACACACCGAATGATAACCAAGATAAAGAACAATACTTTGGCCAATTGGTGTCAATTTTTGTGCTTGAGTTTGGCGTGCTTTTCCACTCGGTCTTTGTTGGACTCACCTTGGGTATTACTTCGACTCAGTTCACCACGCTCTACATTGTTATAATCTTCCACCAGCTTTTCGAGGGCTTGGGATTGGGGTCTCGAATCGCAGCCACCATTTGGCCCAAGGGGAAGCATTGGATTCCTTGGGTTTTTGCCGCTGGCTTCACATTGGTCACGCCCATTGGCATTGCTATAGGCTTGGGCGTAAGTGGAACTTACCCATCAGATTCTCCCCGGGCATTGATCACCAATGGGGTGTTTGACTCGATCTCAGCGGGTATTTTGATCTACAGTGGGCTAGTCGAATTGATGGCACATGAGTTTTTGTTTTCCACGGAGTTTAAAGGTGCCGGTGGCACCAAACGTATGCTCTGGGCATATGGGTGCATGTGCCTTGGCTGTGGCTTGATGTCATTGTTGGGAAGATGGGCATAAGCGTTTGTGGCTGGACCAAAAGTGCGGTTGACTTCACTTTTTGTGTGTGCTTTATTCTATGGGGCATGTAAGTCATTTATAGAGTTTTGATTTTCTGTGGGGTTGTCTGACGCGAGAGTTTGCAACTCTTATTTTGCTGCAAAGCCGCGTCGCACGACAGAATGTAAATCGAGATGGGTTAGAAGATCCACTGGTCATATATATCATCTGTTAATTTTGATGAAGGAGTTGAATTGCTGTTTGATTGGAGCCTCATTCTTCGGAATATGTGGAATGGTCGAGTAACCTGATATTTCACTATCAATTGAGTTCGCCTGCTTTGGCGATTCCGAAGCATTCTAATTTTGAGTTTGGGACGGCTAATTAGTAAACTATGTAAACACCAGTCTTTTCAACACAAGTGGTCTCAGACCAGGTTTCGAAACCTTACATATAGTCAAAGATCGAGTCGTCCAGACCCACTATAAAAGGCGGTGGTCCAAAATCGGACTTCTAGAGAGCCGGTCATATACTCCGGTGGTCTTTGGTCACGTGATTTGAGCCATGAAGCATGGTTAGGTCTTGGTTTTCTCTGACTACGAAGAGTGGACCGCAGATATGTGCGTGGACCACAAGACGATGATTGATAAAGTTGCACAATTTGTTTCACCACACCAGCTGCTCGCCACGATTTATGTTTATGCTCGGCCTCTCAGGTATTCTAATCCACCACTGCGGAATTTTTTCTAGGGCCTCACGCCTGAATAAAAGATATCGTATGTGTTGGAGCTGCATAGACAAATTTGAAGACCGGTTTTCCAGCAATGAGAAAGTTTTTTATTTTGAGATGATTTATCTTTTCTTTCAAATCTATGCATGTATCTTTTCCAAAGGTGGGTCACCCCAACGATGCGCTATTTTCAATCATTGGAAACTAGCGAATATCCAATAATTATTGTTCAGGACTTCCCCACATGATCTATTCAATGGTCACATGGCCCAGGGCCACCAATACATAGCCTTACAGCAAAAACTCCAGTGAACTACTTCAGTGCTCTTTGGATCTGCCACGTTGGCCAAATCCGGCAGATCCCTCCAAATTGTTGCTGCGGAAGGTATCTACCCCATGCCACCCCATATACAGACCTGCACACACTCCCTCCCGCGCAACGAGTGAAATGAACATACGGAAACTCGTCAAACATTCTACTACTCATACTCTCAGATTTGTGGCGCTTGTATCCTTTAATTACCCGAGATACATACCGCGGGCGGCTCTAAGAAACGCCTGGATCCATTCCGCCCATATTCGATTCGAGAATCCTTCCGGTTTTGAGGCGCCGTGCTGCTGACCAGGCCCCTAATATCTTACCATGGCCCAAGTTTCTGCACCCTCTCCATCAACGGCCACGCCCAACGATTACATCGAAAGTTTGTCCCAGGAGCAAATCGAGCATGACCAGAAAATCGGGTTGAAGGCTATCCGCCTCTTTTTGCAGAGCAAGGCGTCGTACGACGTGTTGCCCGTCAGCTACCGCCTTATTGTGTTGGACACGTCCTTGCTTGTGAAGAAGTCGTTGAACATCTTGCTCCAAAACAATGTGGTGAGTGCACCGCTCTGGAACAACAAAACGTCGCGGTTTGCTGGGCTTTTGACACTGAGCGACTTCATCAATGTCATCCAGTATTATTTCCAATACCCCGAGAAGTTTGACTTGGTGGACCAGTTGACTTTGGACGGGCTCCGGGATATCGAAAAGGCGCTTGGCGTGGACCAGATCGAGACTGAGTGCATCCACCCCTTCAAGTCGCTATACGAGGCGTGTGTCAAGATGTTGGAGCTGAAGGCACGTCGTATCCCCTTGATCGACGAGGACGAGAAGACCCACCGAGAGATTGTGGTGTCCGTGTTGACGCAGTACCGTATCCTCAAGTTCGTGGCCTTGAACTGCAAAGAAACGAAGATGTTGTTGAAGCCGTTGAAGCACATTGCCGCGTTGAAGGACCTGAAACACATCTCGAGGGCCACCATGAGCACCCCTGTCATTGAAGTTATCCACCTCTTGACACAGAATTCCGTCTCGTCAATTCCGATCGTCAACGAGCAAGACCGCTTGGTGAATGTTTACGAGGCCGTTGATGTGTTGGCGTTGGTCAAGGGTGGCATGTACACCGACTTGGATTTGAGTGTGGGCGACGCGCTTTTAAGAAGAGCGGAGGACTTTGAGGGTGTTCACACGTGCACTCTCAATGACCGTTTGAGCACGATAATGGACACCATCCGCAAGTCCAGACTACACAGACTCTTTGTCGTGGACGACGAGGGGCGCTTGCTCAACGTCATCACGTTGAGTGACATTTTGAACTACATCCTAACTGGCGAGAGCTGAGCAGCCACAGTGGGACGGGGTTGATGGCTAGACCATATACGTATGAAACATAGAGAAACGATCGCGCGATTGCGTAGATTGAAGACACTCAGACTTCAGTACACTGATCTCATTTAGTGGAACAGTACTATAAGGAAGGGATATGTAAAGGCTCGTTGGTACCTCACTTCGAGACCTTGCAAGTAGGGACAGTGAATATTTGTGTATGATATGTGATTTTGTGGACAGACTAGAAGAAACTGTTATGTTGCTCAACCACTCAACTCATAGGTGCCAGTACTCTCAATTCAAAAGATGTAGCACTTTAGCTTATTCATGCTGGAGCAGTAGAGTATCCATGTGAGTGAAGTAGAGATAGAGTGCCGGAACGGAAGGTGAATGCTAGAGAGAGATATGAGATCTGGCGGGCTTTGGAAAAGAGTGGAAAGGGTGTATTGGAGAAGCTTTTGGCTTTAAACTAAGCATATGCAATGATCATTTTCTGGACTGATTTGTGATTTGCAGAAGAGCTTTGGACTACAGTGCGCTATATTGTCTCGGTCTGACTAATGAAAGGTTGAGTGAAACGGGACCTCAGCTCGCCAAGGATGTGGAAGGATTTTAACAACACTCAGATTAAAATAGACAAAGACAATGAAAGAAAAAGAGAAAGGTTGAAGCAGGTAATCTTGGTAGGGCGAGGTCAACAAACAACGTAAGGGAACGCCTAACCTTCGTGTAGGGGCTGATGATGAACTTTGATCAATATAATTTTGTGTCGCCTGAATCTCCACCAAAATAAACACCCAACTGACTCGAATTTGATCAAAAACTTTCGCCCCTACCTCCAAAAACATCAGCTCGGGGAATATTCTCACTGCTCCAACCCATTTGATACTCTCAAGTTTCAAATAGTAATTTTGTTGATGGTTTCAGGATGCTTTGATTGTTTATGTACAAGGCCGTGGACAGGCCGTATACTTATATTATATTAGTGAAAAACCAAGTTAAGCTTCGTACAGTGGGATCCGTTGGATGCAACAATGCTCGGCTCATTTTGCAAGCTCCCCTAGAACAGTTTCAATGTCGAGCAGAGCCAGTTTGGGATGTTCTCGATAGTTTGTACCTATCTACTTGTAGCACAGCACAAGCTCACTCGAGGAAAAGACAGCTGTTCATGATACCTGGTCGGATTTGCAGTGTTTATTTCTTACTTGGAGCGGCATGTGTGCCAACAGAAAGTTTTCGTTATATAAATGTCTGCTCAATACTACCAATCGAGAATGGTTTGGCTAGAGGCCCAATCAATAACAATATTGCCAACCTGCGATGTCGCGGTTGACGTCCCTAAAGTATTATTCCAAAAGGGACTGTAGGAATAGTCGCATATGGCGTTGATATCATAGGAGGCCCCAAATCAACCTTTGAATTGGGCTTTAACGGCCAGGCTTGTAAATATTCACTACAGAAAAAAAAACAAAAGTTTGACATTCGCCAAATGAGGCCTTTGCATCAGGCTCCCCACCGTGTCGAGCTGTACTGCCGATATGAATTTCCAAAGAGAATTCGAATAACCAATGCAGGGAATCCTGTGAAATGTAAGATACTCTAAAATTTGAGCTGGGCTCCAAGAAAGCTCTCTGTAAAGCTGCTGGGGCAATAAAAATGGTTATGACGTCTCCAGGTGCAGGGCGCAGAACTGGCGGATATTTCGCACCCACTTCGAAATCAAACCAGGGCCCTATCCTTAATACAAAGCGTCAAGACGCCAGTTTGTTCTCTGTGGCGCTCATCCAAGCTGGTCAGAAAACGGGCCATAACACTCTTATATCATTACACTATCGCATGATTCTTGTGAGGTATGGCGGGAGGGCCGTTTGATTCAAGATTGATGAAAACTCGGCGGTTCCAAACCGCCGAGCCACGAACTGGCTGCGTTGGCAACAGTGGCCGTCATTCACAAAGCAGAAGAAGAATTAAGAAGAATGAAGAAGAATAAAGAAAGCAGAAGAATAAGTAAACCAGGAGAATGAAGCAAGCACAAGAATAAGTAAACCAGGAGAATGAAGACATCAGAAGAATGAAAAAAGCTCAAGAATACAGAAAGCGGAAGAATAAATAAACCAGGAGAATGAAGAAATCAGAAGAATAAAAAGCACAAACATGAAAAAAGCACAAAAAGGAAGAAAGCACAATAACGAAACAAACAAAAGAGAAGCAGAAGAATAAAACAAGCGAAGAGTAAAAGAACAAGCACGAGAGTAAAACAGGAACAAGAAACGACCTTGTGCACTTGGCGTGACTGGCGAGCCCATAGCCGCCCACTGTGTATCGTGGGCTCCAGAAAAATCCTTGTAAACCGAAACAAGTCATTTGGATGAGAAAACCTCCCTTCCCAGAGGGAATTTGCCGCCTTCGCAGAAACTTGCCTGTGTTGGCCAAGCCTCCGCATGCGGCGGCGCCGCTTCCGCACAGACTCGCCCGCTATCGGAAATAGTGCCCGATTCGGCGCACACTCGCGTGTCCGCTCCGTAACCAGCAGGAATTTCCGCGCCGCATCTCGTGCTTACTCAGCCAACACTGTGGAGCGTCTGCTTGCAGATAGAAGAGAGATGCGAGGCCAGGCGAAAAGGCACCTGTCCATCTCCAGCCAAGATACGAAGTGACCCTCCACCCAATATCGTGCACATTTCCAAATAAACCCCGCGGGCCACCTGTCCGTCTTTTTCCGTGGTCTTAAAACAAAAAACCGGCCCTTTTCCGCCGAGCTGCTCGTTCCTTTGGCGTGTCGCAACTAGCTTATCGAGCACCATCCGCAGAGCGCAACCCCAAACCAGGCCCCAGTTGCACCACACTTTCCGGCCGCAAAAACTGCCCAGCACCGCCGCCTCGTGTATAGAACGGCCAGAGAAGCATTTCCAGTTTCCAGAACCACAAACGCGTCCTTATCTGGCGTCTTTGCATCCTGGGCAGCCGCACTAAGTCCTCAGCCATGTATCAACAAGACGCTGCTTTGGACGCCACCACCATCACAGCCGCGGACGCACGGTACCTCCTGTGGCACGAAAAACTCGAGCTTCCCCAAGTGACGTTCCGAGCGACGCTCGTCGGGCTCGTGATCGGCAGCGTGGTGCTCATCTCGAACTTCCAGTTCGGCCTCCAGACCGGCTGGGTACTGATGATGTCGCTCCCGTCCGCGTTGCTCGGGTTCACAGTCTTCAAAATGCTGCCCATGGCCGCCACGTTCACGGACGTGGAAAACGTGTACATCCAGAGCGTGGCCGTGGCCGTGGGAACCGGCCCCTTGGCGTACGGCCTTGTGGGCATCGTGCCGGCGATCGAAAAGTTTTTGACCCCCGCCGAGAGCGGCACGGGCGCGCCCGTCGTGCTCTCGCTCGCGCAGCTCGTGGTCTGGCTGGCGGGGCTCGCCTTCTTCGGCGTGTTTTTCGCCGTCACGCTCCGCAAACAGGTCATCGTCACCGAAAAACTCCCGTTCCCCTCGGGCCTGGCCACCGCCACGCTCATCTCCGTGCTCCACGGCACCGAAATGTACGACGAGAAGACGGAGCACGCGCACGGCGAGCCGCTGGCCGTGGACACCGAGTCCGTGTTCTCCGTGGAGAGCTACCAGCGAGGCGGCGTGATCCGGCCGCTGGACTCCAACGGACTAAAACACCTCCAGGTCGAGCGCGCGTACCGGCTGAACATCCGGTCGCTTTGCGTGACGTTTGCCGTGCTGGCCGCGTACACGGTCGCGGCGTACTTCGTGCCGTTTTTGAAGCTGCTCCCGGTGTTTGGCGACACCATGTCACGTGTATATCAGTGGAACGTGCAGCTTCTGCCGGCCTACATTGGGCAGGGCATCATCATGGGTCTCCCGTCGGTGTCGTACATGATGTTCGGCGCGGTGCTCGGCTGGGGCGTCTTGGCACCATTGCTGAAACACTTGGGCTGGGCCCCGGGTCCCATTGATGACTGGGTCTCTGGCGGCCAGGGCTGGATTCTCTGGTTGAGCTTGAGCGTCATGATCCTGGACTCGCTCGTGTCGTTTTTCGTGGTCACGGCCCGGTCGTTCCGCGGGTTGATGGCCCGTTCTCGCCGGGGCCAGTACGCACCGTTGCTCGCCGAGCTGGCCAGTAGCGATGGCACGCTAAGGCCGCACTCGCTGGACTCCGGGTCCGACAAGTCGCTCACCGATGTGGCTGCAGACCACTTGGTGGGCATGAAGGTCACCATGCTCGGGCTCCTCGTCTCGTCCACGCTCTGCGTGGCAGCGATCCGCTGGGTGTTTGGCGCGCTAGTGCCCTACTACGCGATTGTGGCTGCAATTCTCTTGGCGTTGGTGTTCTCCGTGCTAGGCGTGCGGGCGCTTGGCGAGACGGATCTCAATCCCGTCAGCGGCATCGGCAAGCTCTCGCAGTTGATTTTCGCCGCGATCATCCCGCACAACCATCCGGCCAAGATCCTCATCAACCTCATTGCTGGCGGCATTGCCGAGGCCGGCGCACAGCAGGCGGGCGACTTGATGCAAGACTTGAAGACCGGCTTTTTGATTGGCGCATCGCCTAAGGCGCAATTCGTGGCGCAGCTTGTCGGCACCGTGTACTCGGTGTTCTTCAGCAGTGTGATGTACAAGGTTTACAATTCCGTGTACGAGATCCCGAGCAAGACGTTTCGCATTCCCACGGCGGTGGTGTGGATCGACTGCTCGCGCTTGGTCACAGGCGAGGGCTTGCCGCCGCACGCGTTCGAGTTCTGCGTCTTGTTCGGCGTGGTGTTCGGCGTGATTTCACTCTTGAAGAACACCCTTCCGCGGTCATCCCGCTACCACCGGTACATGGTGTACCTTCCGAACGGCGTAGCCGTCGGGATAGGCATATATAACACGCCCAATTTCTCCATCGCCCGGTTTTTGGGCGGTGCGTTGGCGTACTTCTGGATCCACCGGGCTACAAAGAATAACGCGGACCAAAAGGTGAGGATGGTGATCATCAGTAGTGGGCTCGTGTTGGGTGAGGGTCTACTCAGTGGCGTCACAATGCTAATGACCAGCATGGGCGTAAGGCACTTCTAAGGATGAGTGTGGGGTATGATTACAGTTTATTCGAAACGTAGGGCCGGGCTGCGACCCGGTTTTCTACATAATATACACGCTTCCGAGGGACCGCCACTGGCTCATGCCCGTCAATGCACGCCGTTACGCTCCTTGTCGGTGCTGATGCGCTGGTTAATGAAGAAGATCGCGGTCTGTATGGCCGAATAAGTGCCTGTTAGTGTCAACTTGCGGATGTTCGTCAAGCCGCGCCCGCCACCAAGAAGGATTGACTGGTGCTGGTCGGGCTCGATCTTCACGTATGCGCACCCGCTGCTCTCGCGAATTTGCTTGATGTTGTTACCACCCTTGCCGATGACCGACCCAATGTTCGTGTTGGCCACGAACACGTCCTGGGTAAACCGGTCGGGCCCGGTGCTAATCTGCACGGGCAAGTTGACGATGACGTCGCCAATGATCGTATTCCCATGCTCGTCCGTGTACAGGCTCTGCAGCGGGATTGAGTTTGCAGGCAAATTCAGCGGACCATTGTACTGTGGACGCACCGCAGGCTGGAACATCATGTTGAAGTCGTAGGCCTTCTGGTGGTACGGCTGCGGCTGCACATGCTCCTTCATGGGCGCCATGCCTGGCATCTGCATCGACGGCCCCTGGGCTATATACGGCATGCTGGCAGGAACATGTGTGCCGGCAACAGCCATGTTCATCATCGGGTTATTTGCAGTACCCAGATGGTGGAAGTTGGCCGGGTTGTAGAAGATGATCTTATTCTTCTTCAAGGTCTCCTTGTGTTCCAAGAGAACCTGTGAGATATAGTACACGGCAATGTGTATGGCATCTGCCACGCCTGACACGGAAAGAACGCGGTCGGTGGAGTAAGGCAACACCAGCTCGGCAGCCTTTAACTTGGCGGCGGAGTTCTCCTCAATCTCACGGAACTTTCCGCCACCCTTGCCAATAACATAACCAATAACCGGGTGCGGCACGAGCAACCTAAGCACGTAATGTTTGCTCATCATCAGCGCGGGCTCATCTTCAGGCTCGTCCAAAATCGTGCGAGTGATCAAACCGAACGCACGCGCCACGTTCTCCGCCAGGCCCTTGACAGAAACCACTCGCTCGGGCACGTTCTTCAAGTTCTCCGACACCTGGATGCGCACACCGGCCTTCTCGCGGATATGTGTGATGCGCTCACCTTTCTTTCCAACCACCACGCCCGCTTCTTTCATGGGGCAGAACATGCGCAAATACACGTGGTCCAGGTCTTCTTTTTCGCGGTGACTCAGCACGGGCTTCGACACGGGGGTGGGAGCGTAGGAGTTCGGCGGCTGGTCCAACTGGAGTTTATGGATTTGGTCTGTGTGGGGTTTGCCATTGGTTTGAAGCTGTGTTTGAGTTGTTGGGTTGTGTTCTGACGCCAGCGTCGGGCGTGGGTGTGCTTCGCTGGCCGCAAGCCCGGCGGTGGAGTGATGAGTATCCGCACTGCTGGCCAGCGTCAGCCCTTCTTCGGGATTTTCACTGGAAACGGCGCCGTGTTCCACAGGGATTTGCTCGTCAATAGCCGCCAGGTTCGGGGCGCCAAATTGGGGTGCCGTTTGCGCCAGTTCATCTGCGGCTTCGAGCGCAGCCAACTGCTCGCTATCTAGGGCCACACGCTTGCTTAATTGGTCCGGCAGCACTTCGCTGTCGTCCTCGTTTTTTCGTTTCAAAAGATTTGACATCGTGGACGAGATGAGGGTGAGTGGGCGTGAAGAAAAAAAGCTTTTCTTTGCGGAACACGCCAGTACAGGTACTCAGAAATGAACAGTTTCCTCGGCGTCTGATCCGGAAACGGCGGTTTGCAGGGCTTTTTTCAGGCGCGTGGCAGTATTTCACAAAGCACAGATGAGGCTCTATGGCATTGACAGGCCTGTGGATTGGTGTGCTGGGCTCGTTTTGGGCCGTGCGCGTGGAGTCGCCTGCGGTCACGTGACGTGCACTATTGGATCCACGACCCGACGGGAAGCGGGCGGAGCTGAGGCGGATTGATTAGGCATGCTGGCGGTGGTCTCGGCTATGCTCGAAACAATGCGAGCGTTTTGATCCCAAAAATATCGGTGGTTGTGGGTTTTCACTGGGGGTAATTTATGTGATGGGCTGCGAACAGTGTTGCGCGGAGAGGCGAGGACCAGAGCCGATCTCAGAAGCCAGAAAGCCGTCCTATTTTGTATGCGTGGAGCCATAGTGCATTTTCTTTGGGTGGAGGGTGGATCGCGCAAATGGCATAAACTAATATTCGTAGCCCGGGGTGCCTAGATGACCCCTGTAATTTCCTGGTCAGTTTTAACAGACTGTTATTACTGGCGGTGTGCTAATATTTGAAGACAGCTGGATGAGTTAATCCTTTCGGGATTTCTGAAAAGCTGTTTCCGCCCGCGTATTTGCGGATGAACGGCGACAAGCCGGTGCCGTTCTTATGTTTTGCCGATGTAGGATTCAGCCCTCCACTCGGCAGACCGCTGAAATAGCTAGTTATGGCGTCTGCCTCGTTCTTTGGGTACATTAGGATGTCGGTTCGTATGCACGTGAGTGATGAGCCAGACCAGTCACTGGAAATCCTAACAGACCCATGGAAAATCAAACAAAATACCAAGAGGAGGAACCTGTGAGAAACATACCAAAAAGTATAGGAGACCGCCAGGAAACCCCATAACTCACAGTTTCTGCTGCTGCTGCTGCTGCTGCCACTGCCGTTGGCGGTCGAGCTCGCGGGCCTGCTGGTACTGCGTGTCCCGCTTTGCCTCCACGCGGCCCAAAAAGTCTTGTTTCTCCAAGTACCCGCCTTTGTTGTGGATGGCCAAGTCGTCCTTGAGCTTCTTCTTGTCGACAAACGAGGCCCAGTCTAGCCGGGACTTCTCCAAGGTCGTCAACTTGTTCTGCTTGTCGCCCATAAGAAACTTGTCGATGAGCGAGGGCCGCTTCAACTTGATGCGCAACTGCTTCTCCTCGTCACTGCCGGCCACTTTGCGCAAGACCGGCACGTAGCTCTTGCGGGGGCCAGCAGACTGCTCCTGCAGCGCAAGGCTGTTGGTGGAGTTCAAGTAGGCCTTGGCCTCGGCCGAGTTGGCATCCACGAACTTGGACTCGCGCACGAGCTTGCCTGCAAATGTGTACGTGGTGAAAATGCGGATCTTCTCCTCGGCCTCAGGATGCGTGTTTTCGGCAAGAGCCGCCGCTGGCTTTTCGTCCTTTCCACGGGGCTCTGGCGTGGCATCGTCGTGGCGCACCATCCGCGCCCAGTCGTCCGCAGACAGCGTCTGGAGGCTCTGGAAGATCTCGTCTACATCGACCTTCAGGCTGTCTTCAAGCAAGCCGTCTTGGTGAGTTTTCCCGTTTTTCTGCTCCGCTTTCTCCTGGTACCTTTGGCCGCGGGTCCGCACCTGGCTGACGTCGGTGCTGATTGCAGAGTAGTCTGGCTGGGCCTCGTCCTCGGACATTTCGCTGTCGTCGTCCTGGACATCGGCTTTCTTCAGCGGGTCGTAGTCGTCGTCATTATTTTCGTCGTAGTCTTCGTCGTTTTCGTCGCCGCTTCCGCTTTGGGCGGCACCAGCTTCGGGCCCAGTCTTTTCTGGCGAATTGCCCTGGATTTCAAGAGGGGTTTGGGTGGCCTCCAGGGCCTCCGCAGGGCTGGAGGTCCTCACCGCAGATTGTGCAGCCACGCCAGTTTTCGTTCTTTTCTGCCGGCCAGGCCCCGGTTTGGGTTGGGCGGCTCGTTTCTGCCTGGGCATTTTGTGTTTCAAATCGATAGCAAAAAGGAAATCGATAGCGAAAAGGGCGTACGCAAGGTTCGATGGCTTCACCTGGGAGGTATAAGAAGAGTCGAGCGGGAAGGATGGTGCACGTGACTTCGGATAGCCAAAAACGGGTCGGTGCCAAGCGTTGGACAAGTATCGGGCACAGCGTCAGGAGTTGCGTGTGTATTGGATAGGTTCGTGGTTTGTGAAGCTAGTGGCTACTGATGACAAGAAGGCAGCGGGCCACGCGGGTCACGTGACCCGGTGGCCCCAGCGCCTTGAACCTGGGGTAGCGGAAACGGTGCACGAGACGATCAAGACAGCTGCAAGAAGATGGGGCAGATCTTTGCTCTGTTTATATCGCTCTAAGTTTTTTGCTCTAAGTTTTTTGCTCTGATTTTTTTGCTCTATTTTTTCTGCTCTACTTTTTTTTGCTTTGTTTTTTGTCTCATCTGTTTTATGTGTTTTGCTTTCAGTACTGCTTTTTTGTCTGCGATGTCTTGTGAGTTTCAATGAGCACACCTCAATATTGACCGCGGTCTCTAACCACGATCGAACACGAGCGTGAAATACATTGGCCAGACTTTTTAGAATGAAGTGTTTTTTGGTTTTTTTACAAGCTGTTCAGCTGCTGCTGTGGATTCTCTCAGTTGGCCATCGACGCCCAGCCAGTAATCGACTCCCAGCCAGCAGTCATCGCTTCATAAGTATTTCGCAGCCGTGCGACGTGGAACCTTATACCAAAACTAGTTAGAAACAAGAGCCACGATATAGACTTAAGGGCCCTAATCTGTGGAACAAAGCATGCTACAAATTTGAGAGAAAAACATTCTGTACCTAGACATTCTATGAAAACGCCATATTCGATGGTGTTCTGGATGTTGCCCCAGGCCTGCAACGGTGGCTCTTGGAGCTGTCAGATCAGTGTGCGGGTGCGTATTCTGTAAGCGTATTCTGTACGCTCGTTTTAGATTGCTTGAAATTTCTGGCTCATTTCCCCGAGTCTATATATGAGCCAGCAACAAGGTGTTTTATCGAGAAGTGAGTGAATGTCTGTTTACTATGGCAAGAGAAAGAACTCACGGATACTTCCATGGAGATGGTGTGGGTTTGAGCCATTTACATGAAAATATGAGAGACGTGGCTACCAGTAATTGTGCTGGATCCCAAAAAAGCGGTATTTCGAAATATAGCCAGTGGAGTTTGGGTGATGTTCACCCGGGGTTTGCGGGCACTTGGAGGTGCCTAATACCTGAGGTTTCCGTACGCCAAGCCAAACAAACTGTAGGCATTGATAGTGACACGGCCAGTGGCAGCAAAAAGTGGCTGTTGGTAAAGGTTTCGAAAATGTGTATTCTTAAACACAAGAGTAGAGTAGGAGAAGGCAGCCAAAGAGGCCGGCTAATATCAGCCTTTATTAAGGCCGTGGTGAGGCCGCGCAATAGACGGGCCCTCTGGATACTGGATGCGAAATGAAGAAATGGACAAGCAGATGGCCGGGACCATTCAGCTAAAAGCGTTTATCCCCATTGCCGCAAAAAGAAGCAGGATACAGACTGCCTCTGGAATTTGAGGATTCAACAAACAAATGTCTTTGGAGAAAATCACAATATTCACCACGCGTCCGGCTTGGAGAGCAATATTGAATCTCGATGGGGCCGGCCTACTTTGCCTGATATTGTTTGCCTTGTGCACCCTAGCGGTCCCGGAACTCAATCTGGGGAGACAGCACACATACCCAGACAAATAACAATATAAAACGATAAACAATAAAGGGCAAAATTCACAACGAGACATACAAAACAGCCAGAATTACAACAAAACATGCAAAGCATACAAAACATCCCCATAAGCAAGCTAGATCAAATAGCAGACAAGAGAAAGACTACATAAAAATATGAAACACTGGAAGCCCCCATGAGAAAACAAATTGGAAAGCACACGGCTTTGCTGACTCCAGCCCTGGAATCTACAAGTAATAATTGCCGCAGTGCAACTCGGTGCGGAGGCAAACACAAGTAGCCAGAGCAAGCCACACTACCGAAAACCAAAAACCACCAAGAGAATAAACTCATTGGAAACAATAGGTGGCAGTTGCTCGGAATCAGGAGATGAAATTCAGGCTCGGATGACTTGACGCGTGCCCATACAATCCCCCGAAATCTGAATGGGCTTTCTATCAGATCACAAAGTTCGCCCAAACTATACTTCTTACATATTTTCTGGACATGAAACTCACCTTTTCAGGCGTCACAAGGTCTTGCGACTGCTTCGATTCAATTTCCTTCATACTCTTGTCGGCGCGCATCTAATTAGCTATAATTAGCTATATGAGCTGAAGGCTTTATTCTCGGGTATTCTATAAATCCACAGTTTTTTTAGCTTAGGAAATGCGTACTTGAAAGCGGAAAATTTTTAAGAGGCCAGCTCTGCTTTTTATCTTTTGCTGCATGCACCCTCAAGTGAAATACTTGGGCATTGATTCTGTCAGTATTCAAATTTCTCCATGCCCGATTCTTTCGCTCAACAAGACAACCAGAATTTTTTGAAATACTGGCTTTTCGAATGAATAAGACCACTTTTATGACCAGAGACAGCCAAATTTATTACCGTCTTGAATGGCCTGCTTCATATCTGTTTCGTATATAGCATTCTTTGAGTGGTTATTAGCATACTTAGTATCAAAAGGAGAACATATGGCTTTTTGATGCCTTGAGTATATTCCCGGCAAATGAAGCATTTTAAAAGTCCTTCGACAACTGTTACTACCATATATGGGATAAATATAGGATTGAATATAGAATGAATATAGAATGAATTTAGAATGATTGTGGAATGAATGTAGAGTGAGTGTAGAATGAATGTAGAATGAGTGTAGAATGAATATAGGATTGATTATGGGAATGAGAACTTACAGGAATGAATATAGGACTGATAACAAGAGGGAACATTTACACAGGATTCAAAAAATACAACAAGATACAACTGATGACCACTTTCAATCGTGATGAAGGTTTTGCCCCGATTTGCTCCTTGTTGCAAGTCTTCCTTTGTTTCGCACTGCCAAATGCGCGAGTACATTGTTATATTCCAGCTCGAGTCGCATTATTCCACACGCATCAATATAAATGGTGTTATTAGCAGTTAAAACAGTCCAGAGAGCCACAAGCTGTTTCGCTGCAATACCCCTTTTTCAACTATTTCACAAATCATAGGACTGAAAAGATAATGAAGCTACATAAGTGGGGGGCCCTTCTGGCAGGGCAACGAAACCCTTCCCTGAACGCATCCGGGTCCTCAGTTGATTAAGGGTCGAGGGTACTTCCCTGGCCTCATTTTCTGCACCTACTAAAACTCGTGAACAGAGCGCCTGGGCACACGGAGACAACTACTTTCTTCTAACAGCTCCAATCCACAAACACAAACCAAAACAAATCCACAAACACAAAGCAATAAACCCAATGAACAAACCAAAAGCAGATTTACAACCACAAACCAAAGAAACAAACCCGATAAACAAATCAAAAGCAATAATACAACCAAACCAAAGAAACAAACTCAATAAACAAACCAGAAGCAATACAACCACGAACCAAAAAAAAAAAAAACACTCAAACAAAACACAAACACAAACACAAACACAAACACAAACACAAACACAAACACAAACACAAACAC